ACTGATGAAGATTGACATCCCACAGTTTTTTAGGGCAGTGAACAGACTGTTAAAATCATTCTTTAGCAGCTCAGACTGACCCCGGACCACATCGTTGGTTCCAATGTGCAAGACCAGACGTTTAATTGAGTGTGGAAATGTTTGCAGTAGGCCCAGGACTTTATCTCTGATTTTTGTGACGGTGGCTCCTGGAAAACAGTCGGTGGTGGAATTAAAAAAAGAAATGTTCCTGGTTATGGAGTCACCCACTATGGCGGTAATTGGGGGAAACAAGGGACATGGACGAGGAGGTGAGCACCGCTGCTCTGTGAGGACTGTTGGCAGAGTGTGAGGTGGGGTCACAGCCTCAGCGGTGGCTGGGGGCTCACATGACCCTTCACGGCAGGGAAGAGCACCGGAGCATCTTGCACTGAGAGCAGCTTCCTTCACGATCTTGCACCGGGAGGAGGAGGTTGCGGACCTGAACAAGGGTCCCGGGGCAGATCCCCCACCCCCCTGGGCTGCTGGCAGCGGATGAGTTAGAGGGCAAACAGGAGAGGAATGGACAGTCTGGAGCGGAGGGAATTCCTCAACACTCAAGACGCTATATCTGTTCTCCAGTTGGAGCTCACAAAGTGGAGCAGGTATCGGGCTGGACCTCTCTTGCCTTTTACCATGTACTGTGGACCATGGCTCTTGGTTGGGAGTGGAGCTGTTAGCTCTGAGCCTCGGATTAGGACTGAAGGTGAAAGTAGCCTTTGCACTGCCGTTCGCCCATTTTGGCTTGGCCCCCAGCAGCAGCCACGGGTCCTTCGAAGGGGGATGTGGAGCTGGAACTGATGAGGTCAGCCTGGATGTAGCTGCGGCGGCTGTATCATCAGTTCGGAGCGGAGTAGCCGAGACTGACAGCTCAGCTGGGGCCAAGTCGGGATCCGCTGTAGCCGTGGAGCCGGCACCAAGCTCTGCGACGGTGGAGTCCAGATCCGCAGGGTTACCAGGGGGGCCGGCACCTATGGCAACTACGGAGTCGAGGAATGCTTCTTCATCCCTGATCCAGTACAGATTGGAAATGCGCTGCTCCAGCTCCGCGATCTTCTGGGATTTGTGGAGACAGCTGTCACAGTTATGTGGAGAGGTGAGTGGAGCCATGGGGGGCAGGTGGGGAAGCCGGCGCGGGCCCAAACACTGGGCCCGTTGAGATGAATGGGTGTCCGGAAAAAAACAGAAAACAGCATTCTGTGCTGTTTTCTGTTTTTTTCCAGACACCCATTCGCATAGAAATGGGTTCTGGGGTGGCCGAAGTGTTCACAGGGTCTTTCCCTCTCAGGCGAGCAGTGTTGTTGTGATCAATCTAGTTGTAGAATGGAGAAAAACTAGTTTATTGCTAAAAGTTAGCGAAGCGCTAAAGTAGTTTGGAGTGCAGCTGTGTTGGCACCAGTCACACAAGTGTCCCAAAAGCTTAAAATCCGCCGATCGAAAACACAAGATCAGCCATCTGGCCAACGTAGACTTTAAAACAAATAAAATCTTAAAAATAGTCCATTATAAGTGGCATAAAACTGGGTTAAAAGTTATAATTTGAGAGCCGAAATGATGTAGGACGCCGACATCCTGGAGGTAAGGCCGCTAGCTAAGCTAACTAGCTCCACGAGAGCCAATGAGCATTCAGCCACCCATTAGCCAATTAAAATGCCTTAAAGTGTCTATCTGGTGAACAGTAGTCGATTTCAAAATATGTTACTGCTTTAGTTTAACGCCTGTGCACGCAGCCGATGCTAATTATAAAATACAAAGGCGCCGAGCGTGCTAACACAAGCTAGCTAGCTTGCAAGCTAATGTTACTGTTTAGCACTAACAACACTGGCTGCCATTCAAATTACTTAGCTTCATGAAGTGAAGGGCCCGGCTGCGGTGATCCAGCTCAGTAATCCGTCCACTCTGGCCGATATCAGCGAAGGTTTGTAGAAGGAGCGTGAAGGATTGCAGGCTTTAAGTCCCAGAGTGGATGAAGTAGCTAACATTAGTAAAATGATTTGAGCTGTTGCAGAGTTTTAACTCCTCATAGTCCACATAACGGTATTTTCAGCTCACTAGCTGTAAATACAAACATCGGCTATGACTCATTAGCGTTAACTTTAAAGTTACTGTTAACATCCATTGATACAAGCAGGCTTACTTCACTGAGTACATTTCCATGTACGTGAATAACCTGTTTATGAGGCTTGTTCCAGTTATGGTCATATTCTGGATATGGTGTTTATAGGGCAGAGAAATCAGGTTATTCATATTCCCCCTATAGCTACATGATAAATACTAGTATCCCAGTTACTGATTACTGCATTCTGTTTGTACAGGCGCAGTGATGTTAAGAAAACATACTTAAAATAATTAAAGTGAATCCGCTTTCGCTTTTATCAGACTTTGCACTATTAAATGCCCACAGAGCGTTGTGGATTTCTCAACCTGATGGCTTCAATGGGAGACGAGAGTGATAGGAAATTTTACACAGGTCCTCGACTTTGACTGGTGTCTGCCTGTCACTTTAATCGCCACTGTGCAGAACAAGGGAGCAGTGGATGAAGATGATGGTGATTTTTTTTCTACAGATTATCTGTCTCATGTATTGCTGTGTGGATATAGTGACAGTTTTAGAAAATTAGTCTTTAATCTTCAACTACAGACCATTTTGGTATATAATTTTTTAGCAAATCTAACACATTTTTAGAGAAATGTACTGATACAGTATCTTCTGAAATAAAACACTACCATTGTCATTTCCATTACCATATGGTTTTGCCATCACAGTAGACAAAGTGATGGAAATTACTGTTGTGGAAATTACATTTTGTCACATTGAAAATGATGATATGAATGATATGTTAGCTTGCTATTGTCTGTTTCAGCATTAGCCTGAAATATACACAAAATACACAATATAAAATGTTTTTTTCCCCTCATTATTTGTACATTCAAAAAAGCCACTTGGAAACAGGGGTGGGCGATCTATCGAATGTACTCTATTAATCCCAGCTAGTTCCATGAGGAATGTATTAAATGACTATGTTGGGAACCTTCCAATATAAATGGTCACAGTTTTTTTAAGCCACCAGCATGAGACTCCCACTCTGGGGTTGAGGTGAATAAAAGAACTGTGTTGTGATCTAAATAACATGCTGTTGCTATCTGCAGAAAATATTAAAGCATGAAATCCCGCATTTTTAATGTACGAAAGCATCCTGTATCATAACTACATGTGTGCCGTTTGTAACAAACCAAACCGCGTGAAAATCAGTTAAAAATTCAGTGAGTTATTCTATTTTACTTGTGCATACAGCTCCATCCTCAATAGAAGTGAATGCAATGTGGAGGCGAAACGAGACCCATCCAAGATGGCGGCCGGCGAGGACGTCGGCTCTGATAGGGAGCGGCAGTCAATGCGGCGTCTATGTATATATGTCTATGGGTGAAACCATAGGGTGAAACGCAACACTACGTTGACTCATATTTCTGTGATCTGTGTAAATGTTTTTATAGATTTTTTTTAATGGGAAAGAGAAATAATACCAGTGTATACATTAATAACATAAACACCACTTGATTTTATATTTTGCATGTTGAATAGACAGATTTATTAAATTATAATCAACTATTAATTATGAATTATGAATGACGAATTATGTGAAACCAAATATCATGTTAAAAACATATGGAGAGCAAAGTGTGGTAACAAAGTATGTGTTTATAAGAAAAATTAAAAAACATCTTTCCAAAATTGAAAATGACTATATTCATTATGGATCAAGGTTCTTAACTGTCAAATGATGCAGTTGTTGCCATTGAAAAACTTGGGTCACCGGCTCCCTTTAACACTAGAATTTATGTATGCATGATAATAAATTAAGATTAAGATTAAGATGAGATAAGATAGATCCTTTGTTCGTCCCACAGTGGGGAAATTTGCAAAATTACAGCAGCAGATGGAAAGTGCAAACTGGAAGCATCAATTTAAAAAAAAAAAAAAAGCAAAGCAATATATAAGTACATATCAATAAAAAGACAAACAGAGGTCGGTGTAATAAGTAGGCCTAAACTGTACAAAACAATGAGCAACAGTATATAAAAACACAAAGCAATATAAAAGAAGCTAAATATAATAAAGAGACAGACTAGATGATGGGATAGTGTAGTTACTGCACAGTTTAACGTATACTGATATTGCACCTGAGAGGTGATTGTGAGCAGTGGAAAATAAAAGCAAGATATATTAAATAGACAGTCTACTGGGAGCAGTGCTGGCTGTAAAGTTTGACAGCAGAAGGAAGAAAAGACCAACAGTATCTCTCCTTCAAACACTACAGGTGATGAGGAAAAAGACCAGTTCTGACTGAATCCATCATGATCTAACAGACACATATCATCATTGAACATACAATACGATGAAACCATCAACCATTTACACACTGAATAATAATCATTACTTAGTAGGGCCAATTCTTAAGTAATGCTCTTTTAGCACTTTAAAAAAAAGAACCCAAAGATATTATTTTGGTTAATGGACTGCACTTGTATAGCACTTTTCTAGTCTTCTGATCACTCAAAGCGTTTTTACACTACTTCACATTTACACATTCACACACTAGTGGCTGAGGGTTGCATACAAGGTGCCATCTGCTCCTCAGTTACCATTCACATGCTGATGGAGCAGCCACCAGGAGCAGTTTGGGAGTCAGTATCTTGCTTAGGGATACTTCCACATGTGGACCGGAGAAGCGAGGGATCAAACCGCTGACCTTCTGATTAGTGACTGTCTTAGTGAACGATGTGATTTGACAGTGAATTCCATTCATGCATTGCTCTGATATTACTGTACACTGAACTGATGTGGTTTTGGATTTTGGTACGGTAAAACAACCCTCAGCAGCATTCCTTGTTAAATTATTGAGTGTATATCTGTACTAAAGGACTGTTTGTGTGTGTGTGTGTGTGTGTGTGTGTGTGTGTGTGTAAAAAAACAAAAAGTCTTTTTTTTGTTATGACTTTTTTAATGAAAACCATCAGTCTGTTTCAACTTCAAAACAACAGAGACATTCAGTCCAGGCGGCAGACCAAACCTTGATTTACTTGTTTAATAGTGGTGTGAGACATTTTTGCACATCTCTTAAAAAACAGACAAAATGTTTGCCATTTTAGAGACCACGCTGAATGTTCATCCCACGCAAATTATTTCTTATGGTAACTGTTCTTAAGATGATTTTTAAGCAGTTTTATACACAGTGGTCCTAGGAAAAAAATCAAGGATATGAAGCATGTTTGTATTTCTGCAATACCCCGTTGTTCAGTCACCATTGGTTACTTACTGTGAACAAATGTGGTATATTCTGATTCTTGCAACTAAATGTAAGCTGTAAATATACATCTCATGAACATTCATGTATAAATAAACTGTTATAAAAGAAACAGAGTTGTAATTGTAATTTCAGCTTCAGCAGAACAGAAAAACTGCCATTTTAAAAATGAACCTGAGCTTTAGGTCAAAAATTTTCCTCAGACTTTGTTGACTGCTCATCAAGCACTAAACAACAAAAACAACAACACTGAAACAAGTTACGCCAGGGTGTTAGTTTAATTCCATTTTATAAAAATGGGTTTACATTTTCAGTGTTCCCTCGTCCTCTGTCAAGGAGTGTTCATGTTAGGAATAACTATGTTCACGTAATTAATAAGCCAGCTGCCATTTACAAAACTAAAGAATCACTGATACTTTCTCGGGAAAAATGCCACACTGACTAACACCAACATTTCATCTTCTGAATAACAGTTTTAATGGAAATCAAACATCTCTAATATATCTAATATCTACCTAATCTGGACTAAGCCTCAGATGAAGCCACTGTGGATTCATCTGCACCTGGTGACGGATTATACAGATTGTTGAAGAAGGAAAAGTCAGATTCACCTCCATGTTGTGTGCCCTGGAAGAGAACAAATTTAAATTTTAGACCGTCTGCATACTGCAAAGGCTGAAATAGGTGTATTTCACAACTTTCTTTTAATGAACTCTGATGTCTGTTCATATCCAACAACACAAGCAGAGGAATTTTATCTTCCCTATTGCTGCACAACACACGGGCAATATGCTTTGAAATACAGAGGACCATTGCTCTGGAGCGACAGTCCTCACTTCATTAAACCTGTTCATCATTATGTTCAATCATGATTATTATATTTTCTTGTTTTGTCTGTTGTGTTTTCATGATTAGGAGAGAAATATTATTTGTAATAGAGTAAATGTGAAATTCTAGAGGGGAAGTTTTCACCATCAGCCTCTTCGGGTGTCTTACCTCTCTTGCACAGTCCCCGCCATGTTTATTTTTATATACGTGTTTTTAAAAGCGTCTTGCGTGCTGATAAAATTCAAATTCAAAACTTGCACTTACATCTATCTTGCAGTCAAAGAGGTCAAACGCAGGGTTCTGGTCAAGTGCGTCGTCACTTATAAGTGTCGGCCGATTCCTGAAACACACAAGCAGAAATGTCAGCGATAAATCATTACCCAGCATTCTTCAGTGTTCTTACACATCATAAATACATAAATCATTTATATAAACAATTGTTTACATTGCACTACACTTCCTGTTCAGCACAAAGAGGACGACTATGATGATGACGCCCGCCAGCAGAGTCAGACCAACAGCCAGACCTGCGGACAATGTGTCTGCACACACAGAGAGACATGATGAGAACACTTGACATCACACTCCATTACACCATACTTCCCACATGCACTCTAGCTTAAAACCCCTTACTTTAAGCATTTGTATGAGAAATTACCTGATTGGGTTGTTCCAATATTTACATTTCTTAAAAAAGGTTGGCGATATTCTATATTTTCTCACTGTGCAGCAGCTAAAGAGTGGCTGTCTGCTCAGCTGAAGTAGCTAAGGAGGGGTTTGAGTTACCATTGTTATCATCAGGAGGGTCGATTGGGGGCTCCGAGTAGCAGCTGCCAGGGATGATGGTGATGTCATCAAGAGCAACATCCCCATCCGTGCTCATGCCCCTCTGATATACAAACACAAACTGCGACAAAAAAAGAAGACTTGAAATTCAGCACAGCAATCAGAGAAAGGTCCACGATGTTGTTTGAGTTTGATTTTCTTTCATGCTATTTTACAGATATACTAAACAGGACTTTCTTAAAAAACAATGTGTAGACTCAGAACAATGTAGTCCCACTCAGTCATCATTAATGGCCCACTTTTTCTGCAGTTAATCTGCCCTCTGCCTGTATTTTCTTATTTTCTGTTTTTGGGATGTTTGTGGTTGTTTACCCACCACAGCGTTTAGGTGAGGTCAGAGCTTTATAAAAAGGTAGTGATCAGGTGCCAGAACGTAAACAGCAGGCATCCAAGAGACACAGTGCCAAAAAAAAAAGTAAATGTAGTGAGGTGAAATCTGGGGTTGGCTTTTACTTTCACTGGTGAGCATGTTAACAAACAGAAAGCAGCCATCCTGCATAGTACAACTGTTGTAACTCATTTTCAATCAAACTAAAAAATATCAGCGGTAAAAAAGTATTCAGATCATTTACTTAACTAGAAGTACCAAACTACAAAAATATTTAATAATGAATAAAATATCTGCAATAAAACTCCTACCTACGTACTACTGTGAGTAATAAATGATTGTATCTGACATGACTAGCTTGTTAATACTAATGCTTCAGTGTGCAAGCTGCATTTTACTGTTGTAGCTGCTTGAGGTGGAGCTGGTTGTAACTACTTTATATGCTGTTAGATTGTGTAATTCAGTGGTTCCCAAGCCAGCAGTCAGGACCTTGAAAGGGTCACGAGATTAAATGTTGAATAATTTCACCTCTTTGAGCCTAAAACAGTTGTATATTTTAGTAATTTACTGCTGAAAAGATGGTCTTTTCACAAAACTGGGCCGTCTATGTAGAAGAAAGACGCAAATGCTTTTGAAATTTGTGCATGACCAGAGAAAACAGAGGAAAACCGCCATGGAATTCACTTTTGCTCAAGGGGTCGATAACCTACAACTACCAGAATGCACTGTGCCACAACAAACCAATAACTACTCCCACTGATGGGTGATGTAATACCTGCTGTGTTCAATTTAACACAGGAAACAACATGGCAGCTGGCTGGTTCTTGTATTACAGTTAAACAGTGAGCTATAATATGTGTCTGAAAACATTTTGGGCAAGAATAAGGCAACACATTAACAGAAGCTTGGTTCATATTTTATCAGCACTGCCCAGTTTTATCACTTGATCTCAGTATTTTTGGCCTCAGTTCTGACAATATGGTACCCACTGTCCGTTCACAAAATCTGGTAAGATGGAGGGAAGTTCACCACAGTTCATTTACACATACTACCCTCACTGTTATGATACAGAGCTGGTGGAAAATCATCAAAGTCTCCCTTTAAATAAAATCATGAGAAGTTTTGAGGGAAAATGTCAATAACTCACAACTCATAGACATCTGAAATGTGACAAGACGCCCCAACTAGATACTGTGTTTTTGCAAAGGGCCACAAGCTAAAAAGGTTGGAAACCACTAGTTTAATCTTTTACAATATGTTGTATTTTATACATGTGTAGACTTTTAAATTTAAAATCTTCATCTGAAAAGTAACTTAGAAAGTTAATAGTAAGACTCTAAGTGTAGTGAGGTAAAAAGTACATTATTTCTCTCTGAACTGTAGTGGAGTAAAAGTATAAAGAAGCAATGGAGAGTAAAAGTACTGCAAAAGTACAGTAGAGTACCTGTGGAAATGTAATAAGTTACTTCCCACCACTGGCAAATAGTAAAAGGTCAAACAATACTATCTGCATTCGTTCTGACATCACCTTTCAGAAGCTCATAATTACCCAGAATGCTTCTTTGTGTTTCACAGCCACACTGGCCTCCTGCCACTTGTCTCCCTTGTCTCCTGTCTCGATCCACTTCAGAGTCCCCTCTTCGTTGCCACCAGCGTGCATGTTTCTATGAGACAGGACAGCACAAATGTTATCAGAGTACAGTTCATGTTTAATGTTGCTCCTCATCAGACACTGACGGCTGGCTGGTTACCTGTCATTCATGTACACTCTCAGAGTCCCAGCGTGGCTGCCGTACATGTGGTACCAGAACTTCAGACAGTGACCTCTAGTGGACGGCTGGAACACATCACTGATCAGGAAGGACATGTCTCCCCACTCGCCCACTGAGCTGTCCACAAACAGATAGTAACCTGATGGAAACATGGCAAGAATAAAAATGAGACAGAACTTCTGTATTCATTTCATAACATTATATATACAACATCGATTCAAACAAATATGTACAGTTACAATCTTTTACATTTCTGTCCTGTTTACTGATTATAAATCCAGTCAGACTTGGCTGCTGCTGGTAGACTGTCATATGTTACAGATCTGATGATGGTGCTTTTTGTTGCTTGGTCCTGTTTGGACCTGTCACAACTATGTCTACGTCTAAAAACAAACCAAAAACTTGTCGCAGGCTCATGATTATGTATTTAGATGGTGGCATGAAGTTTCTGTCGATCTCCATAAATTAGATTCGATCACACTCACATCCATGCTGTTCAAACACAGAGTCACAAAGTTACATGTACGTATTATTACCGTGTGTGGAGTTAGTGGTGTGGTCAACACTGGGACCTGTGTTGGGGTTAGGGGAGGCTCCTCTGCTACGGAGCCAGTCCCCCTGGTCAACTCCTTCGCCCACATTGCCCCAGCTACACATGTTGGTCTCAAAGTCACAATGTCCAGGGGGAGGACACTGAGCGTCTGTCAGATGTACATCATCAAAGGCCATGTCTCCTTCCTGGGTGGGGCCAGCCTTCACACCTTCCACCACGATCTTAAACAGAAAGTGTGCAATGATTGAAACTGCTTTATCTAAATATTTACATATAATTAATTAACGTTATAGAGGTAACCAGAGTCATATTAGATCACAATCTAGTCTCATTTTTTCCCAGCAGTATCTTTATTGATTTTAACAGCAGTAAACAAAGATAAACACGTACACACTCCAGTATGTGCACGCATACATCCACAGACACGTAAAAGAAAAGACACCAGAACAAAATGTCAGTGCAACCGCCGAATGTTAACACACATATAGTCCCCCCCCCCACCCCAACAGTGTAGGCTGAAAATAAATAAATGATGAAATGAGAAGACGAGAAAAAATAAGTAAATAAGATAAAATGAAATAAACTAGAATGAAATAAAATAAAATAAAAATAAATACATTGAAAAAGATATATATAAATGAATGAAGAAAATAAGTAAATTAAAAAAATATATATTAAAAAAATTATACTATAAATAGACTCAAAATATCAAAAGGAATGAAGTCATTTTTAAAGTCATGGAAATCTATTTGTTTATATGATAGTTTTGTCTTTAAAGGCTGGGTTTAAAAAAAAAAATCCCCACTCACTCCCAGTGATATCTGAATGATATAATATAATAAAATATATTATAACAAAATAGAATAGAATAAAATAAAATTAAATAAAACAAAACAAAACAAAACAAAACAAAACATAATGTAAATTCAAGTGCAGAGGATTACAGATATAATTCCTACTCAATTTCACCCAAGAAAAATCTTCAAGGAGAACTGTCCACAGTGAGGTCTGTGGATTGCTTGGAGAAAGTGAGATTTATATTTACGCATTTGTAATTTTAATGACCTAATTCTTTAAATGAGACACTAGTCCAAACGGACACTGGCTTAAAAGTTCCTAATGTTTATTACAGGATTACATAAAATGTTGTGCTTAAGCCCCATGGAAAAAAATAATATCTGGATTTATCTCCATGTACAGTGGTGGACATACACAGAACCTTTACTTTATAAAATATAAACACAATAACAGCAGCAATACAAAGTCCTGCATTCAAAATGTTATTTTATTGTCAGATGGAATTTTAATTATCAGGAGAATTCAGGTACTGAGTAAAAGTGCTGTTGGATGAAGCATAATCTGCAAAGTAACTACAGAGGTCAACACAATGCAGTGAGGAAAAAGTACTATAAAGTGGCATCAAATGGAAACACTTCAGTAAAGTACATGTAACTCAGAAACTGCAATTGAGCACAATACTTGAGAGAATGTACTTTGTAACCTCCCACTATCGTTCATGTATATCTCTTTTCAGCCAAATGACTCTGTATCATTACCACTTAATGTTTTGGGTGGATGTTTTGTGACTTACCCTGTACGGCTGAACCCGAGGCAGAAGTGAGGCCTGAGCGAACCTCCACAGCCGACCCTGGTCTCCTGTCTGAGAGAAGATCAGAGCCTCCTTCCCTTCTTCACTCCGCTGGTAAACGTTCAGCGTCCCCATTCCTCTGCCGTACATGTGGTACCACAGCTGCACACAAGCTCCTTTGCCTGAGGGAAAACACACAGCATATAATAAAATATCACAGAGAATATCCACCACTTAGATGTCCAGACATGTGTCTTTTAGAGAAAATACTGTGATTTAGTACACATTTAAAGTACTTATACTCCACTACATTACAGATTGAAATATTGCTCCTTTCCCACTACAGCTGGAGCTACTTTACAAATTAACTACCCAACAGTGTACGAAATACACTGACAGATTAATCATTTGTCATTTTTTTCACCGAACATTTCATGTGAGGATTTGCTCTTTTTTCTACATTAAGTACTTTTATACTGATACTTTTTTTGTGCTCAAATCTTTATTAAAACAATTTTTGTAACACTGACATGTCAGTTACAACAGCATAATAAGATAACTGAAAAATAATAATAGCTAACGAAACAAAACCTGCTTGGGTAAATACACATTTTTACACCCTTAAGCAGTAGTGTATCTACTGATTATTATTCCAGTCCAGTGTCATCTTTTTGAGTCTTGTATAAAGTCCATTTTTCACATTTTCTTTCTAGTTGTGCTTCTTGTAGTCTCGTAAGAGTGTCAATTTCTCCATTAAAAAGATTTCTACCTTTATACTGATGCTTTAAGTACATTTCCCTGATTAAACTGACATACTTTTACTTAAGTAACAATTTCAGTGCAGGAGTTTACTCAGCAAAAAGTCATCGTTAAAATTAATACACTAGAAAATATTTTAAAAACCTAAAAAACCTGTTTATTGTGCGGAGAAAGGAGGGATATCCCAGGGCCATCATCTCTATTGAGACATTTAAATAAATGTTTTGGTCCTGTTAGGATGTGACTCAGTGTGGGGAGGAGTACATGTCAGCATACATTGTGAAATAGAGCTTATTCTCAATTTAATTGCTGTACTATCTTGATAATTCTTGGAAAACAGGGGTGGAACAGAGTCTATGGCAGCATAATGTTGATGATCTCAAAGGAAACCACACACACATCACACTGGACTTTGTCTCACCTGCTGGGTACAGTGGTGAAGACATTTTAGCTTTCTGGCCAGCGTGGTCGCTATCAGAGGAGGGCAGGTAGTAGTAATGGCCCATGGGTGTGTTGGTGGTGTGGTCGTTGTCTGGGCCAGTGTTGGGGTTGTGGGTGGAGCCTGACTGTCTGACCCAGTCAAAGTCATCGCCGGTCTGCTGCTGCCAGTTACAGCTCCCCTCCTCGAAGTCACACACGTCTGTGAGATAACGTTTTGTGATGCATTATAACAAGCGCAACAAAATCAAATCCAAATAACTTTATTTATGCATTAGGAACTTAATTTGTATAAAAAATGTCGAACAAATGAGGAACATAACTTGACAATATACAATGAAAATAATTCCCACAGTGTGCGCACATTCATCTATGCCTTGCTCCTTTTTAATAATAGTAATAATGGTCTATCTATCTATCTATCTATCTATCTATCTATCTATCTATCTATCTGTCTGTCTGTCTGTCTGTCTATCTATCTATCTAGGTCTGTGAATCCATTTGGAAATGATATGCCTTTTACCAAGAGGCCACTCTCCCCCCAAACCTCCTTTTGTATGAACACCATCTGACCAGCAGAGTGAGCTATAGCGCTTACAACTAAAAAGTATGCATACAGTTTGTAAGGAATAAAAATGCTGAAATTGCTGTGCAAACACTGTGCATGGGATTCAGTTTTTAATCTAAATGGGATGTTAAACAGCAGCTTAGAAGGTGCTTCAAAATGTTTGCTGTCTTGCATTTGTTACTTTTTGTTTCTGTTTTCTTTGAGGACCCTGAAGGCTACATCACTCACAATTATTTGTGATTAAAAAGATCTTTGACAGATCATTTCTAATCCTGTTGTGTTCAAGTACATGTTTGTCTGCATGATGTTTATATGTATATCGTATGGACATTGTCCAATGCCTGATTCCTCCCTGCTTTTTTGTTATAGCCTAGTTTAGTTTTCTGACTCTCAAACCAAACACATTTGTCCATATTGAAAACATGCAAACATTACTCCAACAGGAGGAGGAAACTGTGCATTTATGAGGGGCTACTTTCCGCTGCAGATCAAGCTACAGTACATGTTCATTCCAAAATCCAAATATGTATTTTTCCTCTTACCTGCAGCACTGTTTATCAATCTAGATTAATTTGGTGTGAGTTGCAGAGTGTTGGAGATATCGGCTGTCTGCCTTCTGTTGAATATAATTAATGATCAATACTGCAGATTTTCCTTCTACCAAAGTACACCCTCCAGCCGCATCACTGCACAGCGCAAGATGTGAACGTTAAAGGTGTCCTGAGGTGTATCATTAGATAGCTCAGGGGTGCTACAGGTGAGCTAGCAGTAGACACATACCGCCTTCTGCACAGTGACACAGTTGGCGGATGTAGATTGGTAGAAATAAAATAGTTCCTTCGTGAAACTGCTCACACAACTAGGTCTGATGATTATCTTGAGTAAGCAGGTCATGATTTCTGGAAAGAGATTTTGCTGTTAATGTCTTTAAATGTAATTCTTTTGGGCATTTTTAGCACCACGAGCCGAGTGTCATCTAGTTCCATTATATTTGAGAGAAGGCAGACATCTGTATGGCCTCCAACGCTCGGCAACTCACACCAAAACAGTCAAGTTTGACAGATAGCACCACAGGAAAGAGGAAAAATGTGATAAATTAGATATATCAGACTTTGACTACATTGACAATACTTGTTCAATCAATTCACTGTTGGTTTTTGGTCTTCTCATTAGATTGCTGACAGTAAGAAATATAGAGAACATAGCAAGGCTTACCCTCTAAATGTAGCTGTATCAAAACATCCCTATCAAGAGTCGATCACATAATAGTGTCTAAATAATGAATACTAAACAAATTATTGTTTAGTATTAGAAGAAGTAAAGGAGGAAGATATGGTTGAGTTGATATGATATACCGGGTAGAATATTGTGCACTGACTCCCTCTTTTTACAGTTATTCCGTCTTTAACTTGTAAAATGATTAAATACTGAATAATTGCCAAAGCTCTGGAAAATACAATCTAGTCTGGTGAACCAACATGAAGTATGCCCAGTGTTTTTCCAGCCTCAGACTTATCACCTGAGGCAGGGCATGGTCCACTGATGAGGGAGATGTCATCAATGGCTATGTCTCCAGCCTCACCCCCCACCGTAGCCTCCAAAATCAGTTGGTGGACTTTCTGCACGGTCACATGGCTCTGCACTAACAGCCACTCGTCCCCTTGATTTCCTGATTTTTGCCACACCTACAGGAAAGACAGGAGGCTGATTCACTCATCACAATGAGGATGTGAGGAGGTTTTTTTGCAACACTGTGCGCTGAAACTGTGCAGCTTGCACTCATTATTATACAATGCATTAATGCTATTTTGCAATCAGTGTTTCACAACTTTGTGAAAAGTATAATAACAGAGAGAGAACACGGTGGGAGCTGTCACAAATATTTCTCAATAAACCTCACGGCCGTTTTTCTGTCACTGTAGTTAAGGGAAGTATGGTGTCCAGACTCAAAAACAATCATTGATGAAAAAAAAGTGGCCTTCTCTGACCTCTGTGTATCTCTATGCTTAGTTAAACATCAAATAAAACTAATAAAACTATTAATTTAATGCATTTTTTTACCTCAGTTTTCTTGAAGGAATCAGCTGTTTGTAGAAGCAGCCTCAAGGAGCCCACAGTAGCTCCAAACATGTGGTACCAAAATGTGAAGCAGTATCCGTTTTCACCAGCAGGCGGCAGCAGTGAGGACTTCAGCTGGGCCTTATCTCCCTTTACAGTTGGTCGGGAGCTCTCGATGTAAAGGTATTTCCCTGTGAGAAAGCATAAACAGTCATTCTACACTTTTCTGGCTTTTGATGCATTAAAAGACGTGTGCATGCGACTCCTTGTCACAGGATGCATAAAACTATAGGCTGTGAGGAGTTCAAGCAAAGAGTGATTTTTATTTTAACATGTTTTAAGGGCCTGAAGAGGTGAAACTATCCAGTATTTAACAAAAAAAGAGAGAAACGGCTTTATAAAGTAAAAAATGGGTGGTAGAATGTATTTTCTTTCTTGTTTATGACCCTGGTTATCATCCTACGACCTCTTAGATCCATGTTGTGACCCCTTGGGGTGCCTCTGCCCCCAGGTTGGAAACCACCTTATACTTTGTAGCACGGGTGTAGGTTTTATCTCAACGTTGGGGGTGTGGGAGACATATAAAACAGGAGGTTTGGGGGTCCTCCACCAGAAAGTTTTGAGCATCAAACACTTATTTCCTGCATTCCGGTGAATTTTTACTCAGGGCTCTGTACCTCTTCAGCACCAATTTATGGTGTACATGTCCTCTGCTACTTTCATTTTTATAATGGAGGGGGACAAATGCACATGTCATAAATAAGGAGGGGGAGGTGTCCCCTGCATTCCCCCTGAAATCGACACCTTTGCTTATCAGTTTAAGGAGAGACAGTGTAACAAAAAGTAGATAACACAATCGTCCTGTCACATATATAAAGTCGAATGCATGAGAAACAAAATAAACCATTGCCATGTCCTTAAGTGACCAGTATGGTATGACCAGTATGACTGTGGCATGACTGTATGACTGAAATTATACAGTTTGTTTTCTGTCTTTATGACTCTTCTCCTATTGTGCTAACGTGTCACTGTTTTTGGTCACTGTGGCCACAGTGAAAAAAAGTAAAGTTACCAAAGTTTGGCCATGAAAAATTCTCAACATAGGCATTTCAGTACTAAATGTAATCAAGATGTGCACAATGGTATTATTTAGTTATCTGTGTAATGTTCTAAAATACTGCTCGACAAATGCGGGATTTATACTTCTGATTCCACATAGAGCTGACACCGTAGCCTGATGTGCCCCCTCCCCAAAAATGTAACCACACGTTGCGGCGACGCAGACCTCCCGTATATTATTGTAAGCTGAAACCATTTCCCTCAGTGGAAACGAAGCTTTTACAGTATCTACTTTTATTTCACAGATCATAAATAATAAATTGTGAAGACAGTAAAGCCTCCATGAAAAAAGTATTTTAAGTCTTGTGTGTAATATATCCTTCAGGGAATTATGCTTCAGGATTATCCTGACTTTAACTGAGTAGAGGAAATCTCCGCTTGTCGCTAGACTAATTCATACAATCTAAAATGCCATAGGCTTTGCTAATAATATTAGCATGTTGTATTTGTTTGGAAAACGTGTTTAGTATAAGACAGTTGTTTTGTCGGTGAACCTTGTGAGTTGTAATGGAGCAAAATTATATACCGTTACCTTTGTTAAATGTTGCTGTTGTCCCTGGCTTCATATGAGTAGAAGAAAATTCTGCTAGCCGCTAGGCTAATTTATACAATGTAAAATGCCATAGGCTTGTGCTAAAAACATCAGCATGTTGTATTTGTGGGGAAAATGTGTCCAGCAAAAGACAAGTGCTTTGTCTGTGAATGCTGTGAGTTATAATGAAGCGGCTTTGCGTACTTTTAATTGAAATTATTGCTATTAAGCCATGTTTAAAGTGTTTTGGGTGTGTTTTGAATCAACAAAACTTTACAGCACTTCACAGAAACCCCGCCACTGACTAGTGTTTTGGAGGTGTAACTACAGAGTGACACAGACACACCACCACAGAAGATAGTTTGGAATAAAAGTGACCTTTGCCGGTAGTGTGGTCTCCTGCAGGCCCGGTGTTGGGGGTTTCAGTGGGACCAGACCTGCTGAGCCAGTCCTGCTCATCTTCAGCCCCCTGAACCCAAACACACAGTCCATCTTCAAAAGAACAGCCACAGGCCGACAGAGCTGAGGTGAGAAAGATAATTAAAAAATGAGCCACCTTTCCTCCCTGACGCTCTCTCCTATAGATTTTCAACAGAATGAACAATTTAAGAACGACTGCTCATGTCTAATACATTCACATGTAATAGTGATGGACACCTTACTCACCAGGTGGTTGGTAGGATTTTTCACAGTTTAGAAAAGAGATGTCGTCCACAGCAACAATGTGATCTCCAGCAGTAGTGTCTGTCTGAGTCACTTTATTCATGCTACTGAACCATACCTAAGAACAGAAATGCTTACATTCATATTTTTGAAGGATCGGTGTCCTGAACAACAAACATTACACATACTGCACTTGAAAACCATATTCCTGGACATATTCGGGAGAATATAATGTAGTTTTCAACATTTACAGACCATCCTCACCCTCATGCTCACGCTAAACTACTGACACTGATTTGATATACATTTGCTTTACCTATTTTTTTTCCTAATAAATAGTTTTGTACAACAAAACATGGCCCCATGAGCCCTGCTGTGAGAGTATTATAGCTACAGTAAATTGAATGCAGTCTAATATATAGTAGTCCTGCAATAAATCCTACCTGCACAAAGGCTAAAATGTTTTACAAAGGTGCTGGATCAACTTTATGGTCATGTTAGAAGCTGCGGTTTGCATTACTTCTGGCACATGGAGTTAGACTGAGTGATGTTTCTAATATTCAGTCTATCACTATTGATATAAATATGGTGGACAAAACATTAGAAACACTTCTCAGTATAACAAGGTATAATTAAACAGCATTATCACCTCTCTTTCAATAAAAAAACGAACATTATAACCTTCATGAAGAGAGGATTTATTGCAGGATAAATGTTTTAGAGGGCTATAGTTTTAAATACATGCACTTCATAAACTGGTGACTGGTGTGTGTCCATAGCTATTGAGCAATATAGTGCATACCAACAAGAATATAACAGGATTGTTGCTTTTTACACTATACTAAAGATGCATTACTTGTTTGCAGTACATGGAAAATATTAAATATGTTTCAAAATATATTGTGCATTTACGTATTTTCAAAATGGATGTTTATGTATAAGATCTATAATCACTGTGGATATACAAATGGGTGTGTGGTGGGGTGTTGGGCCACCACAAGCTGCCCTGACAGTCCAAAATCTCCCATAGGTGTTGAACTAGATTGAGATGTGGTGATCATTAACTAATTAAATGTTTTGTCATACTCATCAAACCATGCAGAGAGCCCTCGTGCCCTGTGTGCAAGCTTCCTACATTAAAACTGTTCAACTGTTGAGTGGATCTACGAGCACACACCTTATAAGGCCGCTGGTGCAGGCCTACGGGCAGATGCTCTGGGGTCCAATCAGAGACAGTGTTGTGACTGCGTGACCACAGGATTGCTTCACTCCCCTCAGCTTGCTGCATAAGCACTCTGAGTGACCCAGCACTCTCTGCACTGATGTGGAAGTGAAACCTGCGTTGAGGAAAGAAGGAAGGAAGAAGGGGAGAGCGTTGGATTGGGAAGAGAGTTGCGTGGTAGCAAGACGGGGGCGGTGGGGGACATTGAGCAATTCATACTTGAAAAATTTGACTCTGTATCAAAACAAATATTCTACAGACACTAGGGATGATAATGAGAGAAATGTGGACATCAATGTCGTGGTCAGCACTTACAGTATCTGGCAGTATGGGGATGAAGGGGGGAGTGGGGGGCACTGGAGACGGGCCTCACTCTGTATGGACTCCCGACTGAAATTCACTCTCATGTAGTAGCCTGAGAACGAGGGAAAACGTCCTGAATCAAAAAAGTTGACTCTTAACTGTAAACCACCAAAGTAAATGTTGGCATTGTCAGTTTCTGCAAACCACAGATATATAATCATAAGTGCTATGTCTTAGACAACTGGACTTGGCTTGAGTTTCTTGAAGACGTTTCGCCTCTCATCCAAGAAGCTTCTTCAGTTCTAACAAACTGGCGCAGAGCCAAACTCTGTGTGGATGTGAACCCTTACAGAGTCATTGAGGTCACATGTGAGTCACTGACCCACTCGGCCATCTGTGTAGAGTTAGGGTTAGATGGGTCCAGGTGAGAATGGGTGTTACTGTAAGTAGTCTGGGAGGGGATCCCAAGACTGCATTGTAAGTTGGTGATAAATGGTGTTGTAGGCCAACATAGATGCCCCATGCCTCTTACAAACCATCTGTCTTCTCTGGCCAAGATGTGAACATTGCTGTCCTTGAAGGAGTGTCCCTTCTCCTTTAGATGTAAGTGGACAGCTAAGTCTTGACCTGACAAGCTGGCTCTCCTTTTTTGGAGACACGGATATATATCTTTTGTAACGTTACATTATTATTTAGCAAATATGTTGAAATTTTATGTTTCTACAATGGTGTGGTGAATCTGTGGTTATGTTTAGGCAAAAAGACCACTTGATTATGGTTAGGGAAATACCATCTGTCCATCTATCCATCCATCCATCCATCCATTTTCATCCACTTATCCAGGGCCAAGTCACGGGGGCAGCAGGCCAAGCAAAGCACCCCAGACATCCCTCTCCCTAGCAATGCTTTCCAGCTCCTCTTGAGGGACACCCCAAGGTGTTCCCAAGCCAGATGAGATATGTAATCCCTCCTGGGTCTGCCCCGGGGCCTCCTACCAGTTGGATGTGCCCGAAACACCTCTAACAGGAGGCGCCCAGGTGGCATCCTGATCAGACACCCAAACCACCTCAACTGACCCCTTTCGACACGAAGGAGCAGCGGCTCTACTCCCTCCAGATGTCTAAACTCCTTACCCTATCTCTAAGGCTGAGCCCAGCCACCCCACGGAGGAAACTCATTTCGGCCGCTTGTATCCGCGATCTTATTCTTACAGTCACTATCCAGAGCTCATGACCATAGGTGAGGGTTGGGACGTAGATGGTCCAGTAAATTGAAAGCTTCGCCTTCCGGCTCAGCCCCCTCTTCACCACAACAGTCCGGCGCAGTGCCTGCATCACTGCAGAAGCCGCATCAAACCGCAAATCCATCTCATGCTCCATTCTACCTTTACTTGTAAACAAGACCCCGAGATACTTAAACTCCCTCGTTTGAGTCAGTAACTCTCCCCCAACCCGAAGGGGGCAATTCAGCAGAGAACCATGGCCTCAGATTTGGAGGTGCTGACTCTCATCCTGACCGCTTCACACTCGGCTGCAAACCGCCCCAGTGCATGCTGGAGGTCACGGTGTGATGGAGCCAACAGAACCACATCATCTGCAAAAAGCAGAGACACCATTCTGAGGTCCTCAAACCGGACCCCTTCCTCCCCCCGGCTGCACCTCGATATCCTGTCCATGAATATCACAAACAGGATCGGTGACAAGGGGCAACCCTGGCGGAGGCCAACACCAACAAGAACATGTTTGACTTTACACTGAGTATATGGACGCAGCTTTCACTTTGGTCATACAGGGACTGAATGGCTTGTAGCAGTGACCCCGGTACCCCGTAATCCTGCAGTAAATATCATAGTTTGGCTTTAAGTACCCAGTTTTAGTTGGCATAATATTATGGTTGGGAATGCCACCGTGTGGCTGAAAACAACTGGTTTTGGTGGCGCAGTCACAGCTGGAAATGCCACCAATGTCTCTTTAAAAAACAACCAATTTTTTTGTTATTAGGTATCAAACTGTGGCCTTGCCAACTGTGTCATGCAATCCACCATCCCCTCCACCTCCTGATGACAAGGTAAGCTCATATACAGATAATCAGAACGTCGTTTTAGAAACGTTGATATGGTTTGCAGAAACGTACAATGCCAACATTTTCCTCTAGCAAATGGGTTGCTCTTAAACATGCAGTGTAGTTACGAAGATTTCAGGACCATGTAATCTAACATGGTTCCCCTTGAATCCTTGTCCTGCGGGTCCATTAAAACCAGTCAACTATTCAATCAGTGAATAAGCCACTAAAGTTACCTGTGTTTGTAGTGTGATCAGTGGGCGGCTCGGTGTTGTTACTGGCTTTGTGCCTCTGCCACCTACTCTGTCCATCACTGGTGTCAGTCCACTGGCACTGGTTACTCTCAAATGTGCACCCACCTTAGAGTTTAAGGCAAGATGTTAGTAATTAGTAAAATGGAGGTGTCGTGGGACCAACTAGACGAAACACTGGTGAAAGGAGGTTCCCACCCGATGACCCCAAAGACATGCTAGTTATCACTGCTCATTGGTTTGTATAGTTAAGCCTTGCCATATTAGCTTATCATAGGGCTTAGGTTTTTCACTGAGTCTTGATCTTTTCTCTAGAGCACAAGCTTCTTGTGTTTTATTTGAATACTGCAGAATGAATGAATCACATGTTTCTGAATGTTTTTTTTTTAACAATAAGCCTAATCTGCTTTTGCTACAAATTTTGTGACAGAGTAAAAGAAAGTTTGTTACTCATAGAAGTATGAACTTTATATAAAACTTGGTCTTGGGGTAGAATAGGTTGACTTCTCTGTGAGAGAATCAGTAGCGAACCTGGAGGTCCGAGCGAGCACAGCCTTTGATGCTAACGCTAGCAGCCAATCTCGTCAAGCCACACTCATCCAGGTGTTCAGACACAAACTAAGCAAGTCTACCCATGACCGACTGACTAACTGTCTTACAAAATGAACTGCAATGGACTGCAGTACAGCATTGGTGGTAGAGGACAAGGGGACAATTGTGTCCAAAATCCAGCAGCTTTACTACTTTGCTTACTCTGCCAAAATTCAATTGAACTGAATTTTTTAAAATACTTTCACAGCAAAAGTTGATGTATGTGATTAATTTAGATTAATTAATCACAGAGCATGTAATTACTTCGATTAGTTTTTTTAATCGCTTGACTGCCCATATTGTAAGACATTGTACACTAATGACAAAATGGTAGAGGCATTTGTACTGCAGGCCTCTACAGCCTGTTTTAGATGGACGCAGTCGATGGAACACGCAGCCTCACCACAGCCATCCTCGTCCTCCCCCTTTGGGCAGTCTGGGTGATAATCACACTGTAAAGTAGCCAGAATACACACTTCTCCAGCTGACCGCCAACAGTAAAACTCATTATCCTGCAACACCAAAAAAAGAGAACAGTAACTTTGGATTATTTTCAACAGGTTAATAGGATTACTTAATGTGTCACAGAATTGCTTTTGCAGACATGAGTTTATTATGTGAAGTAGTTTACCTGACAGGGGTGGGTTGGTGTGGTCGAGGTTGCAGGTGTGGCTGGAGAAGTGATAGAAGATGTAGGTGGGGCAGAGGTGGTTGATGTGTCAGGCAGTTTGTTGTTTTCAGGGTCAAATAAACACTCCTTGGAGAAAGAGATGTCGTCCAGTGCAACCAGCCCTCTGAGACCCTCACCTCGCTCATATCTGAAGACAATCTGAAAAGGTGACAATCTTAAACTAGGATAACCACCTCATGGTTGCATGCCTCCATGGACCAGTCAAGTTGCAGTTACAGACTACAGACGGACTCATATGTAGCAAAGATAATAGGCAATACTTCAAATATAAATGCTGCTGCAAAGGAGCGACATATTCTAACATGGATGCTTCACACACATCTTTACCTCATCAGCACAGAAGATCTATACAATCAGCACAGTTTCAAGATGGGAACCCAAGATTAGTGTCACCAGTTCAATATCTTTGTTCAAATATCTTTTGTTCCTGAGTTTTGGTGTTCAATAAAGGCCAGTAAAGTGTTTTTTCAGAACATTATGATGTCACAGCAAAGTTCACCTTTGACCTTTTGGTTATAAAACATCATCACTTAATTTTCTATCCTACGAGACATTTGTGTCAAATGTTATCATAATTAGTGAGGGTGGGGGGTAGTATCACAATATTTTTGTGTGGCAGTATCGTATCATCATACAGTGCCAAGTATTGATTTTTTTACTATATAAATTATCATTATTACAAATGCTTTTTCAGTCCATTAGACATATTTTGCTGTGGCAGAAAAACGACTGAAGTGAGATGAAGAAATTAAAAACTTTATCTTATAAGATAAAACAGATGTTGACAAAGTTTTCCTTAGGTAGTATGATTTATAGTTGAATTGCAAATTTTTTTTAACGCAATACTCAGCATATCGCAACATAATTTTAATCGCAATAATATTGTATCTCAACTTAAGTATTGTGATAATATTGTATCGTGGATCCTCTGGTGATTCCCACCCCTCATAATTAGCATATAAGTTCTTGAACTATGGCTGAAGACGTGTTTTGTGAGGACATAGTGACCTTGACCTGTGATTACCAAATTCTAATCCGTTCATCCTCAAGTTTCAGTGGACATTTTTGCCAAATTTGATGAAATTCCTTCAAGCCTCTTGAGATAATCGCGGTCACAAGAGTAGGGCAGACAGACGGACAACCCGAAAACATAATGCCTCCGGCTACGGAGTTATAAAAACTATGGTCTTACATTGCTGCTACTTTTTACTTCTGCTTTTATTTTATTTCTGGGTGACCAAACACATAATTAACAAAGTCTCAAATTAAAGTCAAGGCCAATTTGCAAAAAGCTAAAACTATACATTCATTAATTCATTTACGTAATCGCTTATCCTGTGTCGCAGGGTGGCTGAAGCCTATCCCAGCTGACATTGGGTGAGAGGCAGGGTACACCCTGGACAGGTCGCCAAAGGCTAACACATAGAGACAGACAACCATTCACTCTCACATTCACATCTTTGGACAATTTAAGGTGCGGACACACCAAACCGACATCAAAGAACTAGCGGCGACGAAAGCCAACTGTTGCGTCGTCTACGTCGCCTCACGTCGCCCTGTGTCAGTTGCATTTGAACACACTACAGGGACTACATCCGACGGCCAAGTGGCACGTATGTTCTGCGCCTGCTTGAGAGAGAGAGCGGAGTGAGAGAGTGGTACATCCACGGACTATCAGTCCCGGTGCTTCCTCCGCAGGCTCCACTTCACTCAGCTGCCCAACAAACCCGCTGCTTCTTCCCACTTTAACCTGAATAACAAACCAGGGCTCGGTGCTCCAGTTGGATCCATACGGAGAGTCGGTGCTAGCTCAGAGACTAGTGGAAGCTAACTGGCTGTGCTTTCTTCCGGTCATGCTGCGGCTAACGCTCCGCTAGCCGGGGCCAGCTGGAAAGCTAATGGAGGCTAACTGGCTGTGCTTCCCTCCCGTCATGCTGCGGCTAACGCTACGCTAGCCGCTCCCAGCTAGCTCCGGTTTGTTATTCAGGTTAAAGTGGGAAGAAGCAGCGGATCTGTGGGCAGCTAAGTGAAGTGAAATCTGAGGAGGAAGCACCGGTTAGCCCCGGTTTCACTACAGGCAGATTCACTCGCTACAGGGGCGAGGAAATAAAACCTGAACAGCCAATCAGAATGATCTCCCTCACTGACAAGCTCCGCCACCGATTCAACATGCTCAATCAGCCGAAAAGCCGCAGACGCCAAAGTGCCGACGGTGCAGGTTGATCGTCGGCTTGGTGTGTCAGGGCCTTTAGAGTCACCAATTAACTTAATGTACATGTCTTTGGACTGTGAGGGGAAACCGGAGAACCTGGAGAAAACCCACGCTGACACGGGGAGAACATGCAAATCTACACGTACAAATTCCTGGCTCCCCCACCCTGGTTTCAAACCAGGAACCCTCTTGCTGTGAGGCCACAATGCTCGACAATGCTGCTTAAACCATACAATAATGATAATATGAATAATTTTAGTAATTTTAGTATAAAGCACTTTTCGGATAAGTCATAAAATCATCAGGTTTTAAAAGAAAATGTAAAGAGCAATTTGGTGTCTCAAAACAAATACTGCGTATGAAAAGGTACGAATGTTTTAAAGCAAATTAAAATCAGTCAACGGAAAACTCGATAATAGTTTAAAATAGATGGTAAAAGTAATAGTCGTAGATAATACAATGTAAAACCAAAAATGCGTTCTGATAAAAGTATGTTTTAAGACAGGACTTATAGGAGATCCCTGACTCAGACTTCCTTGGGTCGATCGTTTTAGGGTCTTGGGGCGCTCTGTTGGGCCTCTGACCTCTGCCTGAGGATCTCTAAGTATGTACCGCTACATATGGTACCAAGAGGTCAGAGATAAAGCAGGGAGAGAGGCTTTCTAAACTACCTTTTATATCTATCAGTGCCATTCATATGAATCTATTTAAACCTGCATTAATTCATTTTTTTGGCCAGCTGGGGGCAGTTTTTAGCAAACAGTTGCGTATTTGAACATTGAGCAGAGACCTGGAGTTGTGTTTCTGGCTGCTTTAGGAAGCAAAGTCCTATTTTACTCTCACTGTAGGTTAGATTTGCTGTCCCCTAACTCCACAGGAAAAATCAGGCTCCTATAAGTTCAGTCTGACATTTGGTGCTGAGCAGGTAGTGTGCAGTGTTTTTTTTTTTAACCTTGTTTTGCAGGAAACAGTTGCCTGCTGCAGCTGAAATCAATGCTGATGAGAGTGGTGAGAGTAAACCAAAGCAGTGCATTTCTGGGCTATAAAACCAAATGAATAATAATTCTCTGTGGGTTTGTCAACATGAGCAACATCTTTCACATTACATATTGTCATTCAAACCAACTGTTAACATTAAAATACTGATCAGAGAAGCTTTAAAATGTTTCCTTTCATCGTGGCATACACATGTGAGAGAGTTAACAATCTTCCAACATTTTCATAAATGAATCCTTACTGACTACAGCTGTCATTTGTCATTTAATCACCTGTCTCCTTCCTCACTGACCTTGCTATTGTCTGAGGAGGAGAACGTGACCTCTGCTCTCTGCCAGCTGTAACTCTGAGCTGTACCCCTGAGCCATAACAGGGTGTCGTCACTACCAGACTGTCGCGTCCTGGACTGGGCTGTCAGTCTGGCTGGAGCATCATCCAGGCTGAAGAAGAAGAATCTTACCTGCATGGATACAATAACAGTCATCACAGCTCTTTCGTAAGGATGTAACATGCTACGTACGCATATGTATACTCACAGTGCAGTTGTAGCTGGGTAGTAATGTTTTGGAGAGGATCTCTGACGCCTGACCCTTCTCAGTCAGGTCAGTCCCAGGGATGATATACTGACCTGTATAATGAAATTGGAAAGGTATAAGTAAAGTATGGCATTACTGATCAAGAACACTTTAGTCAAAGAAAACTTTATTTCCATTTGCAGTATTATATTTGGCAGTATGGCTCTGTTCAGGGGCCTCTCTTCCATTCCTAGGCCTACACAGAAAGCCTCTTCCACGTGCCTACGTGGAAAGCCTAAGGCAGAAAGAGCACACCTCTCCGCCCTTCCATGCGCTTACATGGAAAGCCTTAAGGCACAGAGAGAGCACACCTCTCTGCCCTTCCATGCGCTTACATGGAAAGCCTTAAGGCAGAGAGAGAGCACACCTCTCCGCCCTTCCACACGCTTACATGGAAAGCCTTAAGGCAAAGAGAGCACACCTCTCTGCCCTTCCATGTGCCTACATGGAAACCCTGAGGCAGGGAGAGCAGCAGCAAAGACCCCGAGGAACAGAACAGAGCAGCATCAGTGACAAACACAAATGACATTAGTAAGTCAGACACAGCATGAAAAGGAGGAGCTGGGGTGGAGGCAGGTTGCAAATCAGCTTGCAGAGGAAGCAGCAACAGTAGGCAGGCCAGAGCAGTTTAAATAGGACGCCTTGAATGAGATTTACCTATTGGTTGCACAGAAAGGAATCATGTGATCTATCAGCTGACTCACTTCCATCAATCAGCTGCTCCATCAGTTGATTGGCTGTTTGAGATCAGCTGATGTAGCTGGGATGTGAGCTGAGCTTGACATCATGTCCTGCCCGAACTAACACTATGTTCAATTAACCATCTAACAAGTTATTCAGAGTCAAAGACAGTAAGGATTATCTAAATGCCAAGCAGCTCAGGGAGGGTGATACCTGCAGCAGAGTTATGGGTGTGATCCCTGGGAGGCCCATATTTGGGCCAGGCCTCCTGTCCTTTGTGACGCATCCACTCAACTCTAGGTGTGTCCACATCACTTCTCGCCCACGAACACAGGCCTTGCTCAAAGCTGCAGCGCTCTGCATGTGTCTCTACATTATTATCATCAGGTAAAAGGAGGGCGAGAGGTAGACAAGTTATGAACAGATAATCGAGAACATCAACCTGTGAATGTGCAGCTCTTGGTTGGTTTATAAAACAACAACACTTGGAAAAGCCCATCACACTATGACTATATGAATGTGTTATACATTACACATCACATACTATTATATTTTTACTGATGAAAATCATACAAATCAGGAAAAACACTAAAAATCAATGTAAACAATTTTAAACTTTTCATTCCATTCATGCTTATAAGTTTAAATAGACTTACTATCAAATTTTACTTAACTTTGAGACCTTTCAACAGAAATTATGAAATAATGTTCAGGACAAGGGGAAGTTTAGAGGGATAGCCTGTATGACCTGACATATATGAATTTACTGTACATTTAGTGTGTCTTATCTCACCACAGTTGTTCTCATCAGACCGGTCCCCACAGTCATCACTGAAGTCACACACTTGGTTTTGCTCCACACACACATTGTTGTTGCACGTGAACATATTGCCTGGACACAAGGGCTGGGGCTCTGAGGTGGAAGCCAAAATATATTTCATCAGTGGAAATCAGCTTGATAAAAGGAGCAAGCTGACATAAACCGAGTGTCCTGCAGGTAGAGCTTACCAGGCAGGGTGCAGTTGGTGAAATCTATGTCATCAACGGCGATGTGTCCCCGACTGTTGAAGGCCCTGGAGGCTTCAAACAGGATGTTGAAGTCCTGAGGGATTCGACCCACTGTTACCTCACCATGATGCCACGAATCTCTATGGTTACCAGACAGCCACCACAGTGCAGTGGTCCTGGCGCCCTCCTTTAGCAGCACAGTCAGCTCCTCTATGTCTGCAGCAGTGTCAAAGATGTCATGCAAACTTGCATACAAAGAAAGCAAGAACATACATGCAGAACACAATAATGGAAAACATACCGTCTCCATACATGTTGTAGTAGAAGTGTAGTGTGCAGGTGGCACTGGCCTGTTTCATGCTGGGACTTTGTAGGGCAGCAGGGCTCATTTGACCTCCGTGGTCAGGCTCCACTGCCATGTACCAACCTGGAAGAACCAATGACAGCCCCCTTATTTTTTCTATACACTGTCAGCAGTGTAAAAAGCACGGCAGGAAAAAATATGAAGCAATGCTAGATCTGCCAGACTGACATGTAGTGGAAACGTGCTGGCATGATTTTATATTTACATTTTAATTCACACTAGAGAGCCTGAAACCAACGATTTTTAAGTGGCAATGACATTATAAACCTCCTTAATTTTCAGCTGAAATCGAGCTGAGTCTGCAATGCATGCAGTAAAAAGCTGTTTATCTTATTTCACAGGGGATTTATTATATATTTTTGTCAGGAAGGCACCATGATTGTTGGATTTCCCCCCTTTTTGTGTAACAGTCTCAAAGGTTTAGGCAATACAGGGACATATGGTGCTGCTAAATTAAAAACGCACATCATATTTTTAGATGTGATGACAGGAAAACTAAAAGCATAATTCAGTAAAGAATTTCATAGAATAAGCATTAAAGTCAACGAATCCAAGCAAGAACAAAAAAAGCATGGGGATGTAGAAACTGTGGCAAACACACAGCCACCATACATACTGTAAAAGGGGAAACAAATTCAGCTTATTCAGCAAATTAGCATATGCAGCTTCTTTTACCGTGGTAACAAACTTCTCATTATAATACTTAAAGATGGATGAAAGATGAAAAGTGTACTGCTTTGCTGCCTCTTCCCCCTTTGGTGGGTTTTAACTATGAAAGGTGCTTTGTTTATTCTATGAGTGGAAGCCCACATTGTTTACTAATGTGTACTAATTTAGTTCCACTGAAGCATCAAGAAATTTGTTACCCTCTCTTTTCTGCCTTTTATTGCTATAAGTGATGGATCAGATGCAGATAACCTCTCCCATTGAAAATAAAGGCAGTATCAGAATCAGAGGGGTTACTGTGTGGCCTTACCCAGTCCTGTGCCCACCGTGTGGTCCACAGAGGGTCCAGTGTTCCCAGAAGCATTTTTTCCTCTTGTCCACTGACAACCGCCATGGCTGATGTCCTCCCAGCCACATGTGTCATTTTCAAATGAACAGCCCACAAATCTCAAACTTGTGTCATTTACTACAAGAAAAGAAGACATTTTTATTTATTTCAATATCATCAAGCATGTATAGCGCTGCAGAGGTGATGTTTTTTTTGCTTTGTTTTTATAGGTTAACTCGGAAGGTAGCGTCGCCCTGGTTCCCTTGACAAAAAGCCGATGTGATTTTCCTGCTGTGTTGGATTACTGCAGAAAATAAGCTCTGTGGCAAACACAACTTTATAATACTCACACATTTTGCTCTGCACAATAATCCTCACAACTAAACAGCACGTTTATGAGTTTTCAAGCATAATGCAGTCACCAGAGGTTAAAAGCTAACGTTAATCTATAAAGCCCCATTTCCATCGAGCAGTCCAGTACAGTACGGTTCAGTTCGGCACGCTTTTTTTCCGTTTCCACTGTGAAAAGTTGTGGATGGTACCAATGGAGCCGTTCTGTATCGTCCCCATTTCTGGTCATCCCTCTGTTGGGGTACCTCGCACACAGGCTCGGTACAAAAAGGTGGAGCTGTGAACACTGCACTCCACACACATACTCTTGCTCAGGTTTTGAAAATTATGTAACCTCTGTTCATACCATGGCAAGTCATATGTATTAGTAAACTGTAACTATACAATGAAAGGATGTTTTGCTGCCTCTTGCAGCAGCTTGAGTCGGAGAAAAATAACTTAATTCACTGGGCTGACTGGTGACTTTTAAGGTGGAATGTTTATTTGTAATGTTACTCAATGCATGAGGTGACGACATAAATCCATCAAAACACCTTAAATTTAAATATGACAACTTTGACCATTACTTTAGTTTTTATTGTCATTCTTGGATGACTTTTTGGAAGACTTTTAGTAATGAATGGATTTTTAATCATTTGAAAATAAATGGTAATTTTGACTGGATTTGACTGGATTATGTGAACGGCATATATTCTAATCCTCACTGAGAGAAAAAAAAGGCATTGTGGAGCATCGTTCCTGTGGGCTACAACAACACTAAACCCCTGAGCTTGCCTGAGAAGGACTAAATGCACAAACCTGCTACTTTTAAATATCCCATGGAGAGAGAATCTCGCTGCAGCCTGTTTTATTTTGTTCTAAAAAAGTTTGCATGCAACCTCGTTCTGTGGACGATAAATGAGGTGCAGGTGCTTCCCTTTGTGTCACCGGTGAAGAGCCATACAGTACAGTGAGTGACAACAACCCCGCCCACATTTAAGGCTGCTTTCAGACCTAGAGTTGTCTTGCTTTGGTCCAAATCAGGGACTGATTTTGTTACAAAGTTGTGTAACGGCCAAGAGTTGGTTCGTGTTCTCACGGCAGCATTTACAAGCAGACCAGATAAAATGCTTACGCAAGAAAGCTGCTCGATTAGTCAGAATTTTTATGTGGGAAAAATACATGAAGTGAACAAATCATTGAAGAAGAGCACACTTGCAAGATAAATGTGACTCTTTCTAATGTCACAATGAAGGGACAACTACATGTTGATTTTAGCGCTGGTCATCGTGGACTACATTGCTGTCATTTATTTTAGTCAAAGTGTGAAAACAAGGCGAACAATGTCTTGATGCATTGGTTGTGCTCAATGTGCATATTAAGGCAGTAGGGGAGACTGGGGTAAGTTGAGCCAAAGGGTAAGTTGAGCCACCCCTTGTTGCTAGGAAACCGTAAATAAAATTGAGCATGTGACCAAATATTTAGGAGGAAGGCATCATTTTATGGAGTCTGTGAAGGTAAGAACCACATGAGTTAAGTGGTTAGAGATTTATGTCCTAAAAAGCATTTTTCACTCATGAAAGTGAATTTAGTCTATCAGAAGTTTCATGGGGATTGTGTTTAGACCAAAATAGATAATTTTTAATTTTGTTTATTGTTGTTTATACATCAATTGTGGTATCTATTAATTACAAAATGAGGTAGTACAGCTAACATGAAAGTGCACCATTTTAGCTGTGGGGGCTAATAAAGTCAATATGGTAGCTATGGGGTAAGTTGAGCCATAAGTTTCTGAGAAGAGGCAAAGCTGGATATGGTAAACCAAGCTTTACTTTCAAGGAGAAAGATGAGGAGATTCTTCCCAAGAAGCGATGTAATCGCAAAACTCCCCAAACCTCAGAGTCCCAGCAGTTTGTATTCCCCTGCAACCTGGACAGGTAGGATATTGAGTAAAGGGGCAGGTGGGATATGGATGGAAGGAGGGAGGGGGGTGGATGGAACGAGAGTAAGATGGAGGGAGGAGTTTAGAGAGGATGAAGGAGGCCCCAGACACGGGGTAAGTTGAGCCACGAGACCACTTTTTTTGACATGCTATATTATCAAAACAGTTATGTTTACACTCATTCTGTTTGTTTGTAGGGATGCACAACATCCTGAAATATATGCACATATATTAGTTAGAAACAAAACTATAATAGCCTTGATGTAGTGATCCTGAATATGAAAAGTGGCTCATCTTACCCCGGTCTCCCCTACAGGAGGAGGTGCACATTAATAATCCTCCAGGACTGTAACATGCTCATGTTTAACCCAAACAATGCGTAATGTGGCTGCAGTTGGTTCAGATCAAGGTCGGAACACGTTCTCACCACAAACAAACCATACCAGAGTTCGGGTGTAACCGGACAGAGACCACCTCACACCCAAGTGCAATTGCTGTGTTCACACGTGCCCAAACGAACCGCACTTAGGGGGCAAATGAACTTGAGTTCCATTACTCACTTATAGCCTCTCTTTGGCGTTTGAGCAGCTTTATAAAACTCTTGAACATGTAATGGCTCCTTAATTAGCAAGTTGACTTTACATAGACAGCATATCTTTTCAATTTCTCCTGACATTGTGTTGTTTGGTTTGTTCACTGCTCCGCGACATGCGCGTTAAGGCCCGAACATACTCGGCCGGAACATACGCAGAACGGGTTCCGCGGAGGTCTGCACTGACTCAAAGCGGATGTCCACAAGCCCTGTGCGCGCAAAGCTCAGATTTTACGACCACGTGGACTCCGCTCCGCGCACCAGTGACTGCTCGGCATGTATTTTTCACATCGCAGGGATTTTTCATGGACATTTTTACAGGAAACTTCAACGCGGAAGTGCGCTCGACTATGAAAGCCCGAATGACTGTGGACATTCCTCGCGGAGTCCGCTCCGCTTATAGTACGCCCGAGTATGCTTGTGTCGAGTGGGCGGAGGCGTTGACCCCCCCGCTCTCTCACTAAGCAGCCTCCCTCTGTCTCCTCTCACTCAGCCTCGATCTCGTCAGCATGCTCCACACACGCGCTGTCTCCCCCCCACACCTCACGATTGCATCGTCATTTAAAAAAGACATCGTGAAACAACCCTTCTAGGTACCATGTCAGAAGGGTTACTTTTGGTTCCAAAGGTATCATAGCGAATGTGTTTGGTGGAAACGGGGCTTACATTACACACTACACCATGGTCGCATCACTTCAACATCAGCTCCACTAAGCTTGTTGCCCCCAACAACCTCTGTAGTCTCATTTAGCCACTTGTTAGCAACCACCAAAAACCCATTGACTTCAACACAAGGAAACCTTAAGTGCAAATATGCTAACTCATTTCCTGGCTTCAGGACTCATTGTACCACTTGACTAATTAACTAAAGAAATTTCAATAAAAACAGTATCAGTACCTTGACAAAGGCCTGGTGTGACACTGATGTCATCAATGGCAATGAATCCTCTGTTGTTAGTCTCTGCTTCAATCAGCAGCTGAGCATATGGTCATGGAGGGAGTCAGTGAATATCATCGATAAAACATCCATTCTTTTCCTTTCTATTATTATTTAAACCCCTGAGATTGTTTAGTATTACCTGGAAAGATGTTCTCCTCTCTATAGACTGCGAGAACCTGGTCCAGCCACGTCCACTGCTGGTACCACTGAACATCAGATGCTCCTCCGAATGCCCTGAACGCATGTACACCTTCAGCGTACCGGAGTCACTGACAGACAGACAAATGTGAAATGCTAAATATGAAATGTGAAATCTGAAAACTTCTGTCAACTTAGTTTAATCAAAAAGTTTTTCTTTAGTATCTTTTCTTTATCTTTGCAGATGACTTTATACTTTATCAGTGCTAAAAAAGGCAATCCTGGAAATTATTGTTAGTGTGTAAAAAATTATTTATCAACTATTCCTTTGGTTCATTTGAGCTACTTGTAATTATATATATTCTACATGCATCTTATTTCTAGGTTTCTGAGTCCATTAGGGTCTTTTTCACACACACATCTGTGTAAAAGGTGAACTCTGTCACAGGATGTTCTTAGTCTTGCACAAAATGGGAGCAGGTGATTCACAAATGACATTTGTGCCCACTTTCAGAGGAAGTCAGTGAGGAAGCTAAACAGGACAAACAGGATGAAGTGCATTCTCTGTGTTGTCACATCCTGTGTGGTGTTTAAAGGGTGGTGTTTTGTAATTTTCCTTTGCTGACCTGCTGTCCATATGGTACCAGAAAGTGAGACAGGAGGTGGTGTCTCTCAGTTGGATCCATTCTGACAATACCTGCGCTACACTGCTGTGGCTTCGGTGCAGTGATGAGCTCAATAAGAACCGACCTGAATGTAATAATAAGAATACAGATGTTACATAAAATAAGAATAGCACAACAATTGCAAACCTCTGCAATACTTAATGATTGTACCGTCAGTGATCAGTCATTTCAATGTGTCAGCTGCACACATGTCTCATGAGGGACCTTATTTTTTAGTGCAAAGTATAATTTTGGCTGTTTGAACTTTTCAAAATCTGTGATTGCAGATTACTCAGAGAAGGATCAGATGTCTCAGTTTTTAAAGTTTCTTTTGTGGAACAGACGTAAGGAAATTGTTTGTAGGGCAATAAGGAGGTAATGTCAGGACATAAGTCAGGGATAAAAAGAGAAGTTAATAAGTAACAGTGGAACAGCAGCTACAGTGGCTCGAATTAATCATAGATTGCAACATTGGTGGCTGTTGAGCTTCTTAGGCAGCTAACTTTATATTCACTTATTTGCTGAGGCTTGTCACATTTTCAAATGTCAAACAAAGGAAAAAATGAAGCTACCTATCATCATTTGTGCCCTCCACAGTTATTGAAGGTGCTGTACCAGCAGAGTGTGTCATTTTAAAGCTGCTATAATTGATTTGATTAGGCACTTGACCTTAAAAAAATGTTAGGTTTAATGTGTTATTTCAAAATCTTGCTGCTTGTGTATAAATCACCCTGTGGCTCAGCGCCCAAATATATCTCTGACATGCTTGTGACATGAACCCTCCAGGACTCAGGACATCTGGGGTCGGCCTGCTGACCGTTCCAAGAATTAGAACGAAACATGGTGAAGCAGTGTTTTGTTATCATGCAGCACAAACCTGGAATAACCTCCCAGATGATGTTAGACAAGCCCCGCCACTGAACACTTTTAAGTCAAAGCTAAAACATTCCTATTTACACTGCCCATTCCACACTGTAATTACTGCAAAGTTATTTTTAAACGCAATTTTAAATCATTTTAAATAATACTTTTACCTTTGCACCTCTTGTCTTCACTTTTGCTATTTTTAATGATGATTTTTTTTTTTTAAATTGTAAGTCATTTAGTAATGCTTTTACCTATCATATCTTTTTTTCTCTTTACTCTTTTCTGTATCCTTTATTATGTTTTAGAATTGTTTCAGGAAAAAGATGATAGTTTGGGTTGAAATGAAAAGATTTTTGGGGCGTCGGTGGCTCAGTGGATAGAGCAGGTGCCCCCTGTTGCCGCAGCGGCCCGGGTTCGACTCCAGCCTGTGGCCCTTTGCTGCACATCATTCCCTCTCTCTCTCTCTCTCTCCGCCTTCTCGCTGTCCTATCAATTAAAGGCAAAAATGCCCCAAAAAATCTTTAAAAAAAATAAAATTCCTTGCCATTGGTGCAGCTTGTAATAGCTATTTTATTATGGAGCATCTTTGACATTACACATAGTCATTTGACCTTTTCTTGATCTAAAATATTAATCAGTGCAGCTTTAAGGGTTTAAATCTGTAAATCCCCCGCTCCATGCTGCTGAGCATATGAATGCCCAGTGTTGCCCCCCAGAGTTAAACTCATTACCAACAGATTTACTATGTTTACTCCTGAGATTTTTGATATAAAAATTTTTCTCTTGAAAGTCCATTTTACTGCTGATCAATAATTTAAACTGGGATTTGCTCCTCTATGAATGTGATCTCTGGATAGAGCTGGGATTTCTACTCTATTTGCATGTCCTTATTACATTGAGACATATCAAAGGTCGTACCCTCTGGGGTCTGAGTGGTTTGGTCTGTCGGTGGACCCTGAAAACCGCCACTGGCCAGCACCCAGTCATGTCCATCTTCTTTAGGGATGTTGACCCAGGTGCACTGTCCGGACTCAAAGTCACAGCTGCCTGTAGGACTGCAGGCCCCATCCTTCACAGAAATGTCATCTAATTTCACTGTAGAGATGGTGCCTGGCGCATGGACTGCCTTAAACACCACCTGGTGAAGGACATGAACTGTTTTAGAAAGCAGACTTACAGGAATGACTGAAATTACAATACAGTATGTAGTTTAGTGACTAACTGCAGAGGAGACAATTTCTTTGGCGGAAAGTGCGAGGTATGTGGTCATTGTAAACAAGTAAAAAACTTACGTTGAATGGTGCAGGGGAGGACACAGTGACCTCTGCCACCTCCCAGCCTGAAGAGGGCGCTCCAGATCGTTCCCAAAGTACTTCACCTGGCTCCCCACTCCGCAGAACATGCACAGCAAGGTTGTTAGATGGCCCTGCAGGTATCCAGTACCTGGACAAATACAGCAGATACACATTAAAATCTTCATCCCACAACAGTGTGTACAGTGTGTGATGGCAGCACTGGACTCACCAGAAGCGTACACATATCTCTGTAGCTGAGGTGACCTCAGGTGTGAGCAGCTGAGCTACTTCAGTCTCTGTCGAGTTTGACATCATCACAGTCATGTAGAAACCTACAGCAGAGTTAGTTAGATAGAGCTGTTTAACATCAAACATCCAGCTACAGCAAGACTGATTGACTGCATGTTTCCCCCTCACCTCAAAAACTACAGTACACGTATTATGAATCAACCAGCTACAAGGTAACTGTGAAAACAAGGCGCCAGGAAAATGTGTCAAATGAGCAAACAAGGCTACACGTCTTAAGCAATGCTAGCAGCTCAGCTGTACAAACAGACAGTGATGCTGTCTGCTAAATGCTAACATGAGCATGCTAACATGCTCAATATGACATGTTTAGCAGGTATAGACCTTTTGTTTGCCACGTTCAACATTTTAGCGTAGCATGTTAGCATGCTAGAACTTGCACTGAACACAAAGTACAGCTGAAGCTGACAGGAATGGGTTTTGCATTGTCTTTGGTCATAAACCAAGGTGACGAACACATTAAATGTCTGACCTGATGGTGGTGCTACATCAATCAGTGGGACTGATTGTCTAAAAGCCATGAATATCTGTACAAAAATCCATCCAACAGTTGTTGAGACATTTGACTTCACGAAAGTGTTTGACACGACTGAACAACATGACCATCTTTACGCTTCGCCTCTTATGCATGTGTACCAAGATGTGGCAACAGGAAGTCCATTCATTCCTATGGAAATCTCTGTGATATCCAATGTGCCAAACAGACAAAATTAGCCTCCCCCCCATGGCTACAGGTAGTTTCTATCAGCTTTCTAACCATACACTAAGAAATCCACTTCCTTGCGTTGGACACCAAGGATATTTATGGATCTACGGACACCAGGTGTGATGCTATCGTGACTAAAAATCCATGCATGCTTCAACTGTTGTTTAACTCAGTGATTCCAAACTGGTGGGCGCAGTCTAAAATGAGTCCCAGGTCCAGTCTAAATGGACCCCAAGTGACTCGTCAACATGTCAAGTTTGTAGAACACACACTACAGTAGTACAGTGAATTCTGAAGTGCCATTTTCTACTGTAGCGTGAGCGAAGAACAGACAGCTACTAGAGAGTACAACAAAGTAGCTTGACAACATGGCCAAACACAAGTATAATGCTGAATATATTAAACTGTGTGGACCTTGAACTATAAGGAGAAATCTGGACCCCGTGGCTGGACCAGTTGGGAACCACTGGTTTGATAGGTGTTAGCAACACTACACACTCTTAAACAGGGGTTCCCAAACTAGCAGGTCACCTAAAGAGTGATGTTCTCCTCCCAGACTGTTGCATTACAATCATTTGAGACACCTGATGAGGTAAAATTGTCCAGTATTTCATAATAAAAACAAAGGTAAGAGTTTGAAAACATAGCAGATGTAGCTTTTCCCCTGATTTCCATGTTCTTAACCATCTTGCGACCTGTCAGAAATATACTGCAACCCAACCTCAGACACTGTGGGCTCCTGATTCTTAGGTTAGGAGCTACTGCTCAAGAACAGGATTAACCTATGACTTACAATTGATTCTTTACATCTTGTAGCGGTGAGACCACGACTGCTCTTCTCTGTTATTAATCACATAATCTCAGCAGCTTTACACTCACCATTTTCAGTTCCATACGTGTAATCCACTTGATGTTTTGTGCCTCTTTTGCGACCCCAGAGACCCTTATGACTGACATCATTCTCAAAGTCACAGCAGCTGGAATCAAACCCACACACATCTAAAATGGTGTAAAAAAAAAAAAAAAAAAAAAAAAAAAAAAAAAAAGAGAGAGAAGCTGTAATAGTCTCTAGTATGTTTTGACTTCCTGTGAACATCGAGCAATGGTGGATAAGTCTTTACGTACTCAGATTACTGCAGGCACCCTCCTTCACTGTAAGATCATCAATGGCAATGAATCCTCGGCTGTTGGTGTTTCTGTGGCTGGTGAACATCAACTGTGGATGAAGGAGAAACACAAAAGACAAGGAAAAAAAGAGTTTGGAGTGATTTAAAGAATTTGGTTTGTGCCTCTGTAACACTGATCCTGTCCCTGTATTCTGTCTTAATCACTGATGGGGATCCTAATAAATAAAATGAAATAAAAGAAACGCATGTGCAGATTTGAGCCCTACTTGTAAACAGCTGATATTATCTTATTGCAAACATATTGGAATAATTGTAGGGGAGCACGTGGACTGAGCGCTCCTGGAGAATTAAAGCCCAGCTCCAGTGTTGCTCAGTCTTTCTTTGTACTTTGAGTCATCTCTGGCGTTCGCGCATTTTGGCCTTTGTTTGGTTTTTGTTTTGTTTTGCTTCACAACACCTGACACCACACTATTTTCACTCACTCACATCTACATCACTGACTTATTGATTAGCCACACTCCATACACACATGCCTTTATTAGGTACATCTTGCTAGTACCAGATTGGACCCCCTTTGCCTTCAGAACTGCCTTAATTCTTGGTGACACAGATTCAACAAGGTGCGGGAAACATTCCTCAGAGATTTTGGTCCATATTGACATGATAACATCACACAGTTGCTGCAGAATTGTCGGATGCACATCCATGATGAAAATCTCCCGTTCCACAACATCCCAAAGAAGCTCTATTGGATTGAGATCTGGTGACTGTGGAGGCCATTGGAGTACAGTGAACTCATTGTCATGTTCAATAAACCAGTTTCAGATGATTTGAGCTTTGCGACATGGTGCGTTATCCTGCTGGAAGTAGCCATCAGAAGATGGGTACACTGTGGTCATAAAGGGATGGACACGGTCAGCAACAATACTCAGGGAGGCTGTGGTGTTTAAACCATGCTCAGGTGGTACTAAGGGGCCCAAAGTGTGCCAAGAAAATATCCCCACACCATTACACCACCACCAGCAGCCTGAACCGTTGATACAAGGCAGGATGGATCCATGCTTTCATGTTGTTTACACCAAATTCTGACTCTATCTGAATGTGGCAGCAGAAATCCAGACTCATCAGACCAGGCAACGTTTTCCAATCTTCTATTGTCCAGTTTTGGTGAGCCTGTGTGAACTGTAGCCTCAGTTTCCTGTTGTTAGCTGACAGGAGTGGCACCTGGTGTGGTCTTCTGCTCCTGTAGCCCATCTGCTTCAAGGTTTGACTTGTTGTTGGTTCAGAGATGGTCTTCTGCAGACCTTGGTTGTAACCAGTGGTTATTTGAGTTACTGTTGACTTCCTATCATCTTGAACCAGTCTGGCCATTCTCCTCTGACCTCTGGCATCAACGAGGCATTTTCACCCAGAGAACTGCTGCTCACTGGATATTTTCTCTTTCTCGGACCATCCTCTGTAAACCCTAGAGATGGTTGTGTGTGAAAATCCCAGTTGATCAGCAGTTTCTGAAATACTCAGACCAGCCCGTCTGGCGCCAACAACCATGCCACGTTCAAAGTCACTTAAATCACCTTTCTTCCCCATTCTGATACTCGGTTTGAACTTCAGCAGGTTTTCTTGACCATGTTGACATGCCTAGATGTATTGAGTTGCGGCCACGTGGCTGATTAGTGATTTGCGTTAATGAGCAGTTGAATAGGTGTACCTAATAAAGTGGCCGGTGAGTGTATGTAGTTCCTTTTTAGTTATTTACTTTGTCACAATAATACTCTTTGATTGAACACCATCCACTGCGTCCCTTCCCGTATCTGTCATGGCCTAGGAGCCGGGTTATGACAACATATAATCTCACAATTCATTTTAAAACAACTTTAAGGGATCCTTATGTTTGTTTATGTTATGTGTTTTTGTCTGATATATTGTTATCTGATTTTTTTAAACACTCAAATATCAGCTTAAAAAAATCCAGCATCAGTTGGGCTTTATTGCAAACATGAATATGCGAGTTAAGTTTTACCCGTGTTGTATTGTTCATGCTGATCGTTACTTGTGCGTTAATCCACTCTGAATTCTGGGTCCCTCGGCGAGTCCACACCAACAGTTCAGAGGAATTCTAGAACAAAGCAAGTCATTGTAAAGTTACGACACTGCAAGGTAAGTCTGTAACAGCTGGTTTAAAGTAGTACTAACTGGGATACATACGGTCTCAACCAGCAGGTCCAGAGTGGATACTGAAGGCCCAAGCATGTAGTACCAGAATCCAACACAGATAGGTGATGTGAGATCAATGACAGGAACAGAGACAACTGCTCTTTCCCCATCCTTTGATCCAGATCCATTCAACAGTAAGAAGAAACCTTGGTGGGTGAAGAAAACAAAGAGAGGGCTACCAGACTGTGAGGCACTGAATAAGTATGGCACTAGATCAGAGTTACTTTGTCTGTTTCATCACTGATGAGACAGTTCTGCCATTCAACTCCATTGCTACATATGTTTGCAGGTCTTCTTCCCAGGGCTCTGTTTTATGTTTCTTTCCAGTGTTGGTGTTTATATAAATGTCAGTACTCAATACCTTCATTATTTCCGACAGTATGATCATATTGAGGTCCGTCCCATGGCTGGTCCACTTGAAGTCCACTACTGAGAGTCCAGTTCGAATCATCACTCACCTCCTGGGCCCAACTACAGAGACCTGTTTTACAAGATATAATTTCACTTCTTAAAATATTTCATTTGTAACATAAAGAGTGGGATACATAGTCAACAGAACATTTACTTAAAAGTATGTATATATCTAAATGGCTTCAAGTAAAAGTCATATCTGAGAAATAATGGAGAGATACACTTCACATTAAAGGAATACTTTGCTCTCAGAATGATAATATACACATCAATAACTCATTCCATGTTACGCTGAATTCATGACAAAACCTTTGTTTTTCTTGCATGCCTCCTCTGTGAAGGAAGAATCCAAAAATGCAGCAAATTCTTAATGAATGAAGTACATGGGGACCACGTTTACCAACAGCAAAACTTTATCAAAACATCCATTTACAAACTCTCAAACAACTTGTGCAGTATAATCCAAGTCTCATTTATCCAATCGTGTGCTCAGTACTTCCCAAACACATGCATAATGATGATGACAGATGATTTGATATAATTTTACTGTTATTAAATGGGGACCCCTATGACTGTAATTCATTATGAATTTTCCCTGCTTTTGGATTCTTCATTCATCGTGGAGACATGAGGGAAATACAAAATTATTTTTTCACCAATACACCGTTACATGGGGTGAGTAATTTACATACAAATGATCATTTTGGGAGTTAAGTATTCCTTTAATAGCTAAAGTATTACATTTTTGGTGTTTGAATCTGGCTACTGTCGCTAGAAAATCAGCAAATCACAGTCTGCCCTGTTTTCCTGAGTCACCTTGTTCAAATGTGCAGTCCATGGCGGAGGCAGGAGCAGTGGTGGTGGTGGTGGCAGGGATTGGAGTGGTGGTTGGAATAGTGTCGTCACAAAACCTGCCCCTGATGATGTGGATGTCATCCAGAGAAAAGGTGCCATCCTTTGAGTCTGGACATCTGGCTTGTAAAATAATCTGTGATGACAGGATAATAGTTCATTTAGAATTGTGCACTGATTTATTTTTTTCCCCAGGGAACTTTATCAGGGTTTATTATAAAATGATACATTTGGCCTTACCTGGTGAGGCCCTGATGCACTGTAATCCACCCTGTCTTGGATCCACGTTTTATTTAAATATCCATTTGTATTCCACACAGGACGCAGCCCAGCAGTCTCATTCACAAACACTGTAAGTGTAATGTAAGAAGGCGCTGGAAAAACAAAACTCATCATCAGAAAACCTGGTTTGAGAATGTTTCCTCTTCTCGATTATTCAAGCTGACACAAAGATGATGATAAATAATTTTTGTAGGACAATTAGATCTGTAATGAGGCATGCACATCAGAGTACCACTGTATAACCAGGAGCCCTCTCTGATAAGAAGTTAGAAGCTTCGAGGTTGGGAAAATAATTTTATCCCACACTATCTGAGAGTATCATATGTATGATGTTTACACCCAGTTAAATATACAAATGTAAGACTGTAAACTATTCATTTAATTTTCATCAACTGCTTTTGTTTTTTTGTTTTTATATTGTTGTCATACTGTATTTATTGTGCCCCCCTCCCCCATATATTTATTGCATTTATTTTTTACAAACAAGAACAAGAACTAATGCTAAATTAACACAAACAAACCAACAATTTCAGTGTATAAATATACATATCATATTGTATTGTACTGTATCGTGCCATGTCATGTCATGTCGTATCGTATCATATAATACTGTATTGTATCATATCGTATTGTATTGTATTGTAAGGTATCGTATCATATTGTATCAAACAATAACAGAATATTGTATTTGCAAATTTGCAAATTTCAATTTTGTCTTTTTGTTTTGTATTGCCCCCTGGATGTATTTTGCCTTTGCTCTTGCATACACTCTTTTCCACTATACCCATCAATGCTCTAGCATTTGATCTTAGGAACTTTTTTTTTATGAATATGAAATATATGAATACCATTCATATTTTTAAAAAAGCCTGTCATTTTAACATTGTTTGTTTTTCACTAGAAGGATGTTCACTAAACAAAATGTGTGTCCTATCTGTGATGCAGTATTTGTTTATTAACAAAATGTAGGTAAAACGACCCCAGCATGTCTTAGTGCCATTTTAAGAGTTTCAAGCACATTTTTGAATTGCAAATATTTTGGGCAGGGTGATCATGACATAACATTTTGTCCCATGCCAGTGTACTCACCATCTGATAACCACCCTTCGGCATAGTGCCAAATCTCCAGGCAAGCTCGGTCTACTGCCTCCATTGTCTCACTCTCTAGTTGGGCAATAACTTCTTTAGGAGACTGAGAGGCTGTGAAGAATGCAAAGTGGCCTGTAGGGTGAAAGAAACAACATAAAATATCCAGGACATTTTTTTCCAAAAGTGTCCTGCACATGCAAATAATTTGCATAATTTCAGATTCACATAACGGCTTTATTCAGTCACCTAAAATATGAGCGGCTCCATGATCAAGAGAGTTGTTCGTCTACCACTGCCTCTATCAGATAGTTTGTGTTACTGTTTGACTTTGGTGTTTTAAATGGATTCATTAGGTTCACACAATAACACAAAAAAACTTTCAATTTAGGCAGTGGTAGTATAAAGAAAATAAAAAATTACCAGTTTTACCGATGGAGTCTGGCTTTGAAAAGAGCATAGATAAGTTTCACATTTAGTTCAGTTCCCAGTCGGAAGGGGCTTTGTTTGGGAAGTCAATTCAGCATACGACTGGATAAATGAGACTTGGGTTAGATTGCATGACTTGTGTGAGAGTTTGTAAACAGATGTTTTGATGTAGTTTTGCTTTTGGTAAACACAGACCCCATGACTTTAATTCTCATTTTTTGGATTATTTCTTCTCCATGGAGGGATATAAGGAAAATACCGCGTTACATTGAATTTGTGTTACAAATTCAAGGTGACATGCAGGGGGTGAAGTATTTCTTTGAAGCTTGACTGATAAATATTGAAACACTGCATGCTATAATCATGTCTCCTGTTCACACTGGCCATTAAGAGATCACTTCCTAATGCAATTACAATGTCAATGATGGGGGATAGAATCTACCATCCTTGTTGTGTGCAAAAACACATTAAAAAGTATATCTGAAGTTAATATGAGACTACAGCAATCTGAGTTAGATGGATCTCGTTGGTATCTTCCAAAGTTACAGTACCTTTAGTGTGAAATTGCTTCTTTATGTTACTAGGCCCCGTGTCACTAGGTTCACTAATGATTAACTGATAGGCGCTGATAATGGGAAATTTTACTGCTGCTTGACCTCAGTGCTGTGTTCAACACTGTTGATCACAACATTCTCATCAATAGACTAAATCAGTGCATAGGTATATCTGGAACTGCTCTTAAATGGTTTGAATCATATCTCTCAGATAGAGAATTTTCTGCATCCATTGGTAACTTAGCTTGTTTTATCTTCAGCTCCGCTGATGTTTGGGGTGCCACAGGGATCTATTCTTGGTCCTATTCTGTTTTCACTTTATATGCTTCCATTAGGACGCATTATCAGCCATTTTAGTAGGGTATCCTACCATTGTTACACTGATGACACCCAAATCTACCTGTTCTTTAAGCCAGATAATGTTAGCTGTCTGAGCCTTTTAATGGAGTGCTTCACTGCTATTAAAAATTGGATGACTTTTGGGTGATTTTCTGCAGCTAAACCCAGACAAGACATCAAGGCCCCAATGCTCTGGAATTCTCTGCCTTAGGAGATTAGACTGGCTAGCGCATTACCTGTGCATAAATTATTACTTGAAACATATTTTTATACTTACTTGTTCCCTTTTAATGCCTGATTTTTTTTCCTTTTTGATTTGTAACTTCTGTGTTTTTTTTTTCTTTTGTTCTATTTTTGCCTCTGTACACAGCATTTTTTTTTTAAAAAAGTAATGTATTGTTATTGTTGTCTTATTTTTATACACTTTGGGAAGCACTAAATAACCTTGATTAGATAAGTGCTATACAAATATAATAATAATAATTCCTCTTCTTCTTTTTGTTCTTGTACTTCTTCTTCTTCTTTTTATCATTATTATCATTATCCCTCTGCTGCAGCCCCTCATCTCTTAATGGCCAGCACAAACAGGAGGGATGACTATAGCGATACAAAAACCTGTTTCAGTGTTCATATAGGCACCTGACTACTGTTTTAAGACAGACTTAAAACACTGTGAATGTATCCTTTAAGTTTAAGTAATCCATGTTTCTCTGTTTCAGCTGTTCCACACACATGATCCCTGTTGCTCTCCCCGTTTTGTGGACTGCAAAATCCCACACTCATTATGATGCAGGTAGTCAAAGTGTGTTTGTGTGTGTGGTGACTTACCCAAAGCAGAATTTGTGGTGTGGTCCCTGTTTGGAATAAGGGCACCCTTACTCTCACCTGAGAGCCAGTCCCAGTCCACTCCAGACTCTGCTGGAGGATTGTTCACCCAACCACACAGGTCCATTTCAAAGTCACAAAATCCTGTACGGGAACAACACAGGTACACATAACATATGCAACCGGACATGCATGCACACATTAGAAAAGCAGAACATATACTAATTTTAATTCTTTTCATCCATTTTCCATTTTAACTTTCAAGTCTTGGGGTTTACATTGGTCACTAACCTTGCGGAGGACAGGCACCATTCAGGACAATTAGGTCATCAATGGCAATATCTCTCCTCGGTCCATCTCCAACCACCGCCTCAAAGATCACCTGTCATTTAAAATGATGAAAGGATTTGAACTTATATGACATGTTATTTCTATACAGTTCTGACTGAGGAAGTGCAGACTTATCTCAAACTACTAACAATTTCTGAATGTAAACATATTGATTATACTCAAGGAATAGGATTTTCAAGTCAATCTTAAAACAATATTCACATGCTATTATACACATGCCATACTGCCATACTGGCATCAAATGGATGTCTTTCTAAAGTGATTCCAGTGTCGTTATCTTCCAGCATTATAGTCTTTTTAGTATCAAATGTTTCCTTACTGAGCTGCAGCAGAGGAGTGGATACAAAAGGAATTTCATACTAAAAAGATTGTGATTTTTAAATGTGATTATTTTTACATTTGATTTAGTCTGACTAAGACTGCTTTAGCCTCATTTTAACTTCAGCTAAACTTCACAAATTGCACACACAGCATTAGTTCAGGCAAGACACAATGTCAAGCTCAGCAGCCAGATCAACTGATGGAGCAGCTGACAGATCACATGATTCCTTTCTATGCAACCAAATGGTGAATGTCTTTCAGGGCGCCCTATTTAAACTGCTCTGGCCTGCCTACTGTTGCTGCTTCCTCTGCAAGTCACTTTGCAACCCACCTCCACCCCAGATCTTTTTCATGTTGTGTCTGACTTATCAATGTAATTTCTGTTTGTGTCTCTGTTCTGTTCCCAGGAGATCTTTGCTACTGCTCTCCCTGCCTTAGGCTTTCCATGTAGGCACATGGAAGGGCAGGGAGGTGTGCTCTCTCTGCCTCAGGGTTTCCTTGTTTGCACATGAAAGGGCAAGGAGGTTTGCATTCTCTGCCTCAGGCTTTCCATGTAGGCGTATGGAAGAGGCTTTCTGCATAGGCCCGAGGAAAGGCAGAGAGGCCCCAGAACAGAGCCGTACCGCCAAATATAATACTGCAAATTGAAAGTTTTATTTGACTGATGTGGTCCTGACTGAACATATTGTTACACAGAATGAGGACTGTGGTGTTTGTCCCTCATCACTTACAATGAAAACTACTTTAGGAAGGGAACTCCTTATGGCCAGTATGGAAAAAAGGAACAATCAAAGCAACCAATAGCACTTTAATGTAAACTTTATAAAACCATAGCAACCACTTGCCAGGCCGTAAGCAGCATGTATCCAAGAGAAAGCTAAAAAAAAATCACAGACAAAGCACCAAAAAACACGAGAGCGAGATGAAAAGCCAAGTTGAATGTAGTCTCGCCACCAGACAACCAGAGATCTCCGCCTTTTGATAGTCTGGGGACACTCCTTTCTAAAGTGTGTTTAACACACTGGCGAAAATGGCCGACAACAAAGCAATGCCTCTTGCATTTTTGAAAAGGACACGCCTTCTCAGAAATGTGCGCTCCCCCTCTTCTCGTCCCCAAGGAAACAAACACACAGAGAGCTTGAAAATGGATGCCGAGAGATTTAACTCCGTTTTATCAAACGTGTGCTTATCCATGAAGAAGATATTTTTTCCAGCGGATGTCTTAGTTACAACATGATTGAGCTAACTGGAGTAGTTTCATGTCGTATCCGACAACGGGAGGCTTTTAACAGATGGCGTCCTGATGTCAGCTTTGCTGCTGCTCCCTGTCAGCTGCAGCCACTGATGCTTTCTAGACATCGTGATTTCCCAAAACTGAATAAATACCACACATAGCAACACAAAACTGCTTTGCTAGCTCAATCATGTTGTAACTAAGATATCCGCTGGAAATTTTTTTTTTTTCACGGACCGTTTAATGAGTTATTACCTATTACAGACACCGCTAACGGCTAACAGGGCTAACAGGGTAACAGCTAACGGTTAGCCCAGCTAAATGTGCACACAGAAATAGTAATGTTTGTTCAATCATTGTATTTATAGACTTTACAAACATCGGATTAGTCTAAACGGTGATACAGTGATGTGAAAAATGTGATATATACTCTCTCTATATATAGCTAAAAGCTCTGCTGGTTTTCTACCCGGAAGTATTTGTAAACAACAAGGCGATTCCCTCTAACGTTATAGTCCGGCCAGATGGATGAGTCACGGCCTTGTAAAAGATTATGTTTGTTTCTTTTAGTTGGCGAGAATGTGTCGCCGCAAACGCGACAAACATCCACTAACTTTGACGGCATTTTCTGCGAGCGCGGCTGAGCCATTTTGTACCGCTACACGTGTTTCTAGTGGGACTATGTTTACAAGCACAAGAGTTCAGCGAGCCACCAAAGGACCGCCCTGCAGATTTACTATTGGTTCTGCAATGTAGGAAGTTTTTTAAACTCTGAAATTGTATCCGCCCATCTAAACACAAAATCTGGGAGAAAGTCATCAGTCTTTAGTTAAGCAAAGCGTCTAAAGACTGACTTGTGAGTCTAAGTTGAATGAATCTTGGGAACATAGCAAAAAGATGGACAACAGCATGAATAAAATATATGCATAAATAATGCAAACCCCAAAAATATCATGTTAGAAAATTATATTTAAAAAAAGTCCAGACCAAATGAGTTTTAAGATGCTTTTCAAAATGTGCACTGATGAGGCAATCGTTTATTCACAAACCATTTATTGATAACTAACCACCAAGTACCTGATATGAGGTTTCAGGACTGAGAAGTGTCACTCTTCCGTGCCTCCAGTGCTTCCCCTGATCCCCACTCCTGGTCCAGTGCTGGACAGTGTTGTTGTCAGCGGTTCGAAGATAAACGCTGAGTTCTCCCACTCCACTTCCCTCCATATAGTACCAGAACATTAGGCACTCCCCATCAGGAGCAGTGGGCTTCATTACTGCAGTCATCACTGCGCCTCTGGACCCCACAGGGTGCCTCCACAACTGGGCACTCAGATAATAACCTACACAACAGGGCGGAGTTGTACACACGTTGTTTTACATAGAATGGGATCACACAAAGTTATTAATAACAACTGAATGTATCATTTATATACTGCAATAAAAAACAAGATTCATCACCTTTCTTTAACACTGGCATTTTGAGTTTTAAAATTTTGATGCTAAGTTACCAGACATCCTTCAAATGAATCAGTGCATTGTTCTGATAATAAAAGAATACAAGATTCAACTTGTTTATAAGCAGTTTCCTCGATCCATCTCCTTTGAAATTGCATGTGAATGACAAATATTGACTTTTAAACATATAGGATCCTTAATCTATAACATGCTTAATGCATTTTCTGGTTTAAAGGTGCACTATACAGAATTGTTGGTTACTGTTTGTTAACATGCTAACCCCAGATTCACTCTAATTTGGCGTTTTACCTCACTATATTAAGTTTTTTTTGGTGGATGCCTGCCGCTTAACTTCCACAAACTACCGCAAACGTCTAATGGGTCAAAAGTGATGATTTAGAGGGATTTCTTCTATATGACTCCGTACATCCAAAAATCCCGCATAGTGTATCTTTAAAATTCCAGCCAAACTGAATACAGTATAGTCAACCCAATCCAAACCCGACAGACTTCCCAGTTTCTTTGTTTGAGCAAACATCAAGTGTCATCATCAGATGCACCTTCAAGCTAAAAACAAAAAATATAACCACTTTCTAGTTCTGACATGATTTGAAAAATTTACAGCAGATGAGCCAGCTGAGTCTGTATCTCAAGGAGTTTCAAACCTTGCTGTGTCCCCAGAGTGTGATCTGCGGCGGGGCCTGAAGAGTTGGCTGGTTGGGACACCCCTCTGACCCGACTCCAGCTGAAGTCTGCAGATGGTTGGGGCAGCAGACCACAGAGAGAGCCCTGGAAGGTGCACTCTCTCTCAGCTGGACAAGAGCCAGTCCCACTGCTGGATACCATAATGTCATCAATGGCTATGCTGCCTTGTGTGCCACCCACCACTGCTTCTATAATAAACTGGAAAGCAACACAACTTAATGGAAGTATAGTTTTTGAGGTAAAAAAGAGTTAAACTTTGTCATGAAACATAGTTATTAACGGAAATAAATGAGAAACAAAACCAAAGTCATCTTATGTACACTGCCCGTTATTAGACATTAATAAGAACGGAAAGAAAATAAAAATTGTATCAGTAAGAAAGACACACAAATACAAGGCTTGCGTTTGACAATAGGAACATTAATTTGCATGTGTTTGTATTCTTGGCTCTTTGCAAGAAAATAAAATGTCTTATCATTTGGAATAAATCTTTTTTGTTATGATCAGCAGAGGAATATACACAAAAAAGAGCAATAACAATACCTGTATTGGTTTGTCACTGTTGAAGGTAAGATCTGCAAATCTCCATTTATTTCCCTGGGTACCACTTCTCATCCATACAACTATCTCAGCTTCGCCAGAGCGCTTTGCAATAAACTTCAATGAACCTGATTATAAAAAATCAACATAACATTTGAGGGACACATGTTGTCTTATGGAGAAGAAGCTAAAGATTTAAAATTAGGAAATGCTGGACAGCTGTCGTATATATTGTGTGTATACCTCATTGTCTATTTAATGACCCATTTAGTGAATACGTCTGGAGGTGTAGCTACAGACATTGAGGCACGTACCAATGCTGTTGCCAAATATGTGATACTTGAAGCTCACACATATGACTTGTCCTGCAGGTTGAGGGAAACTGACAAGTCTGGCTGTCGACGAGGTATTCAGGTTGTGTGAAGTAGTTATGAGCATGTAGTAGCCTGTAGAGAAAATAAAAAACGTTTGTATGCCTCTGTGCACTAGTCAAGTTTTTCTCACAGTTAACATCCATGTCTGTGAAAACATGAATGCTTCACAGTCATCTTCCCCCCATCAGCACAGAGGATCTATACAATCAGCACAGTTTTAAAGTGGACACCTAAGATTAGTATCACAAATTCAGTGTCTGACCAAATGTCTCTCCTTCTGTTCCTGAGTTAAGACGTTAAGTAATGGCCAGAAAAGTGTTTTAATGCAGAATATTATGATGTGACGGTGAAGTTGACCTTTGACCTTTTGGATATAAAACATCATCATTTCATCATAATATCCCCTTAGACATGTGTGTGAAGTTTTGTCAAAATTAGCATAAGAATTCTTGAGTTATGGCCAAAAATGTTCTGTGAGGTCACATTGACCTTGAGCTTTGACCTTCAACCACTAAATTCTTATCAGTTTATTCTTCAGTCCAAGTGGATGTTTGTGTCAAATTTAAAAAAATTCCCTTAAGGTGTTCAGAAGGTACTGCAGTCATGAGTATGAGACGTGCAAGATCATATCGACCTTGACCTTTGACCACCAAAATCTAATCAGTTCATTGTTGAGTCCATGTGAATAAATTTGAATTAATTCCCTCAAGCTGTCCTTGAGATATCACGTTCACAACAATGAGACAGATGAGGTCACATAGACCTTGATCTGTGATCTATGACCACTAAATCTAATCAGTTCATCATTGAGTCCAAGTGAATGTTCATGTCATATTTGAAGAAATTCCCTCAAGTTGTTCTTAAGATATTGCATTCATGAGACTGAGATGGATACAAGGTCACAGCGATCTTGACCTTTGACCCTTGACCACCAAACTCTAATCAGTTCATCCTTGAGTCTAAGTTAACATTGTCTAGATATATATTATTTACAAGACTGAGAAACTAATCAATTCATGGTTCAGTCCAAGGGAAGATTTGTGCCAGATTTTATGAAATTCCCTTATGGCTTTGAGATATTGCGTTAACAAGGATGGGATAGACATATGTACATACGGATGTGCACATATGTACGGATTCAAGTACGTAATCAAGATGCCACCAAGTAAATGCTCAAACAAATTCCTCTTCATTGTCAGTAGGATACTCACCCTCTCCTGTTGGGCCATCATCAAATCCACCATCACTTCTTTCCCACAAAAGGCTGGCAGTGTGGTTGTGGTACCACGAACAGGTGTCTTCTTCAAAATCACATGAGAGTTGGTTTGACCCTGCGGGGACATCTCCCTCTCCACAGTATTCAAAGTTGATATCGTCCAACATACCGTCACTGGCTTCCATAAATGGAAGTTTGAATGATAACCGCAGCTGTAGAAAGAGAAGTGTTGTACCCTACATTTATTCTGAAAATCAGTATTAATACTGATTTAGTTTATTTAGCCGCTAAAGGCTGCATTTGCTACATTTCTGGCCCCCAGGGAAAAAAATTAGCTGTGGACCCTACTGACCATCGAGTGCCTTCCACTGCCTGTGTATTGTGTATGTACCCTGTTGCCTTTAAAGGGACAGTTCACACCAACATCAAAAATACTGTACATAGTTTCCTCTTACCTGTAGTGCTCTTTGTCAGTCTAGATTGTTTTGGTGTGAGTTACAGAGTGTTGGAGATACCAGTCATAGAGGTGTCTGTCTTCTCTAAAATATAATGGAACTAGATGGCACTCGGCTTGTGAAGCTCAAAAATGCAGACATCTCTATAGCTGATATCTCCAACACTCTACATCTCACACCAAAACAATCCTGATTGATAAACAGCACTACAGGTAAGAGGACAAATGTGTGTATTTGATTTGGATGTGAACTGCCCCTTAAGCACACTTCAAGTACAAAATATCCAACAGACTTTTACATCGCATCTTAATTTTGCCTTGAGCCCCTGAAACCAATCAGGACATCAGATTTCTGAACATACCTGTCCCCAGTTAGCTGTACGTCTGCATGGCAACACAAATCTTTTGAGGAATATGTACCAGGTAATAAACAGGTCCAGTTACATAGTGCCAAGTACCATAATTAGATTAAAAAAAAAAGATAGATTTATTGATCCACCAGGGGGAAATAGGTTGTTATATAACAATAGGAAGCAGTGCAGATAAGATACAATAAAAGTTTGGGGTGTAATAAAGATTAAGAAAATAAAAAATTTGGAGAGCTACCCCGTGAATCTAAATCAAATTAAAGCAATATACAGATAGAAAATAACTAGAGTAGTAATAATCAATCAAACCTAACCTCTAACAAGTCAGAGGTTTGTAAAATCTGACATTCTGGGTCCCACCTTTGTCACTGCTATTCTTTTTTGCATACTCTAGTTACTCTAGTTAGCAGATAACCATGCTCTAAATTTTAAAACTACAGTTCCCACAATGCTTTGAGGATTTAACGATAGACTTAATGTTTTCATGGATTCAGTGAGGTATGCGTGGGCTGCAACTTGTGCCCAGCTGTTTTTAGCCTATATTTATTGACATTTGGTCAAATTAGGAAACATTTACAGAATTAGCTCTTAGCAGGTCCTATTTGAAATCTGTTCAGACAGCAATAAAGGCAACTTCTGCAGTTGTAAGAAGAGCCTTTTTCTATGATTTCTAAGTGGATTTATAAACTATAGTTTTAGATGACTATGTGCGTGTACAGCCAAAAAACATACAGAATATTTCACTAACCTTGTATCCTCCTGGCTGATTACCAATGAAAGCTGTGGCATTTTCCCAACCCTCTGTATAACTTTTGGAAATTTTCAGCAACTCTTTCTCAGCAGTGCCTCTGATCAGTGTTACTTGAAGGGATGATGGCGATGAAAATAACTCGTCATTGTAAATATGGTACCAGAAGCTGAAACACATTGACAGTCAAATTCACAAACACAGGCAAAAGCTAGCACAGGGTTCATGGCAAATTTAAGACAAAAATGTAGCGAAATAATTGATATGCTTTGTCAGCCAAGGACACATCTACACTGAACAAAAAATTAAACGCAACACTTTTGTTCAAGTTAAAAATGTGAGACTTTTTATGCAAACAAAAGTCTTATTTATCTGTAATTTTGTTGGGAATTTGATAAAATGTGTTGGTAAGTACTTCTTTGTTTTCAAGATAATCCATCCAAAAAAAATCTGACATTTAATAGAATTTCACATGAATGGCACCACTCACTAACACCAATTTTAACAAATTTGCAACCAAAATTTGAGAGAAATAAGTTTTTGTGTGTGCATAAGAAGTCTTACATCTTTAAATTAAACCTGTGAAAAATGGAAGGAAAAACAGAGGTGTTGCATTTAAATTTTTGTTCAGTGTAACTGTAAAACACATATTTTTTAAAAAGAATATATTGTGTTTAATACCTGATCTGGCATCCAAGAGCTGCCAGGTTGTCAATGGAATACTCCAAACTCGCCGTCCGAGAGAAACCCCCTCCTTGTTTTCCATCTACATGCATGACATGTCCTGTATCCAGAAAACAAATATCAAATTAAGAGCGTTATCACCAAACTTGTGGTCTGATTAAACACTTTTATCACAGATATAAAATATCACTGTATCAGTTAAGAATAATTATCAACAAAGTAATGACACAAACAGGGCAGAAGGTTAACATTTACCAAAGGGACTTCCTGTGGTGTGGTCCTCTCCAGGTATTGAGGTGATGTTTGCCATCTGCCGCCTCCAACTGTAGGAGGTCTCACTAGTGTTGTGCCAACCACAGGAGTGATGCTCAAACTCACATGACCCTTAACAAAGAGGGTGAGACAGAGTGAAAATTGATCCAGAAAGTATTTACAGATTTTGTGACAGCATTCTTGAAAGCATTCTTGTTCCCAACGTTGTGTTGTTTATTCTATCTATCTATCTATCTATCTATCTATCTATCTATCTATCCATACATCCATCTATCCATCCATCCATCCATCCTGGATCGGTCCAGAACACTATTATGCTGGGTATTAGACTGCTCATTCAACAATAGAAGTCAGCTCATGCACCATCAATCACAGTGTGACACAACCTTTGCTCGGGTGGTACATGATTGGGTATCCTTCTCTCTGCTGGGCAGCATCGAGAAGTCTACTTTGAAACAGTAAAGATTTCTTGATTACATTAATGGCCCTTAAAGAATCTATGTCTTAGCTCCCTTCCATGTACCAAGCTTTTGCCTATTTGGCTCAGCTTATAACACAGCCTCCCCCTTTTTTTCTTTTTTATTCTTACAATACTTGCACTTTTTTCTTGTTTTATTTGTATATATACATGTACACTGTCTTTTTCTTAGTGTATGTCTTAATTTTCTGTATATATTATAATTTACTTCTTGCTGTCTGTTTGATGGTATTCCCACATCTCACAAAAACTTAAAGGGCCAGTGTGTAAAATGGGTTGAAAACAGTGACATCAGTGGTCAAATTCTAGATTGCAGGGCTCACTCGCTCACCCCTCCCATCGGGTAAATGACGGTGGCCTCGTAGAGACAAAAAGCCTTGCGCATAAGTTTTTCAGGAGTAGGTCTATCTAGCGACGAGGTGAATGTTTATTTAGAAATCTAAGCCATGTTACAATATTGTAATGAATCCCTCACGAGCAGGAGACCAGAGGAGCGTTCAGGAAAAAGGCCAGTTTATTTGAGCACTCCAGAAACTCTGGTAAAACTCCAGGGGGTAAAAGACTCCGTCCCAAACTCTGACTCTTCTAGCGTAATAGTCACACTTCATAACTTTACACACATACTCGTTTACCATTCTGAGTGGGGACCCCCCTCCCCTCTCTGCTCCGCCAATCTCCAGCCCGCACACTGACTGACAGCGTAGCCGGTAAACAGAGCTCAGCTGTTTATTTAGCCTAGCAATATCTCCGGAATATAGTAGCTGCAATGGACGACTTTGAACGCGATTTTGAAGAGTTTCTTGTAGCGGACACAGACCCAGAGCCATACCTGTTTGAGCCGGAGCATACAGATGAGGAACTCCATGTGTTTGATGCTGAGCGGGCGAGAAGAGAGGCTGAATGCACAAAATGGGATTCGGTGCTACTGCTACCATCGTTGGGGAGATACATCATCAGGAGGAAAAGCGCCACAGAGAGTGCATCACAAGGAGTGAAGTTACGTCTTCTCTCTAAAGCAAGGCCCTTTCTATATACATATATATATATAAAAGCATAATTATAAGGCTACGAAAACCAAACAAATTTTATTTTATAGTGATTATACACTTGTATAAACATATTAATGGGTAGAATATTCAGATTCAGATTCAGATCGACAATAAACCATGCCAAATATTACACACTGGCCCTTTAATAAAACGTTAATCATAAAAAAAGAATTACCACAAAACTCCTCGTCTGAGCCATCTTCACAGTCCTTCTTAAAATCACAGACGACTCCAGCTGGAAGACATTCTCCAGATGTACAGTTGAACCCCCCATCAGGACAGGAGGCAACAATGACCAACAATACTGTAAAGACAGTTTCATCACAAAGAGATCACAAAAATAAGATCTGAGGGAGAAATATGATTTCAATTTTTGGAACTCCATCATGGGTGTCTTAATTCATCTACTACATCTCCAAGCCATCAGGTAACAGTTTGGATATTCCACAATCACATGCAAGTTTTCCAAACATCATTGACACTTCACTTGTCACTCTGTAGTTTCCATGAGTGATATCTTAGTTGACTTCTCCCTCATCTTTACACCCCTTATTTAACCAGCATGCACATAAAACAATACACACTGCCTTAAAGATAATACGTATCTATGAAGAACCTTACCTGTAAGCAAAATAAATACTTTCTTCATGTCTGAAGAAACATGACACAAGACAAGAAAATCCAAAGACAAGGAAAGATCTTACAAGTGTGATCCCCACTCCAGCTAACTCTCTTATTAACACTTTCTGTCTATATTATTGGAGTGCAATCTTTATACAACAACTGAGCTCAGGCTGTGAGTCCTTATCGGTAAACCGTCACAGCTTAAAGTCCAGAGTGTTCTCAGTGAACTGCATTATATTTCCGTCACTTCCTTTATGACCCTTCTTGAGAGCTACATTTTACAAGCACTGCCAATGATATACACTGTAGATTCAGATCACAGCACAGATCCAGATTTTTGTATTCGTTCTGTTGGTAAACAATAATATAGGTGAACTCTGACCTGCAGTCAGTAAGCAATAAACTCATGATGAAGTGAATATTATTTAAAGGTGTATGAAATAGCATAAGTTTGGATTTTATTCCCATAAAATATGCCTTTTTTGTAAATTCAAACACACAGCATTTTCAAATTCTATTGTATGAATTTGCTATAAGTATTTATAACAACATTAAGGAGGGTCGGCTCTCTTTTCTTAGTTACCCTGTTGAAGAAGGTGATAATGCCAGACATTACTGAACCTTATCTGACTTTGCAACTGGGAGATAAAAACAATGGATAATTTAGATACTCCACGTTCTAGTTTCAGTGTTTGAGGTCAAAGAGTGCTCTGTGAAATGGTGAAGTAAAGAGTTATTAATTTTAACTTTGTTAATCAACCGTTAAACAGCTCTGGGTAGTACAGTAGTAAAGTAAGGACGTGTCAACGTGTCATTGAACAGCCTTGACTCAGAAAACACTACTAACCAGTAGGAATGCAACTTAAGTGTTCAGTTTAAAGAGCCTGGAAAAAGTATAATGTTTAAAACATTTGGTTAAATGGGCTTCTGGAACACGCAACTAACAACAAAGGTTGCTACTTTTCTGTCCAGCCGATAACCACCCTCTACCTCTTTCCTCTACAAACAGCATGTAAAGGTTTGTGTGTTGTGTGTTTGTGTGAAATCATGGACAGCAAGGGGAGCAGCACACTAATATTCCACTACTATTCCAAATATGTCAATATTCTGAATTTAATACAGGTCATGTTAACAGCATGTTCCATTTGGATATTTCGAATTAGGCCTTTTTCTGATTTAAGCATTTTTAGATTACGACATGTGGGATATGCTGCAATCATGGTGCAATGCTCTTGTTCGGACGGCTCAAAATTGTGAAGCCCTGTTAGTCTAGATGGTGCCTATTGCTCTTAAGTTAAGTTTCTCTGAAATACACACTTTCTGTAGTTCGTTCCAGTTTCCTATTTGAGCCACCGATCCTGGGTGGTTTTCGACGACCCATCCTTGCTTTTCTACTGACTTTTGTGCCACCAAAAGTGAGTATTCCTTAGTGATATATTCTTTCTTTCATTCTTTCGAGGACAGCAATGTTCACATCTTGGCCAGAGAAGATAGATGGTTTGAAGGAGGCAAAAAACCAAAATGACACAAGTGGCTTCAGCCATTCCATTTTTTCATATTCTGATGTGATAAACAACATTTTAGGGCACGTTTATCAGATTATGCACAACTGCATGCAAAGGGGAAAATTAGTGGAATATTCACTGTCATTAGCCACGTAAACAGCTTAGTGGGAATATTGAATTTTTTGGAATAAGGGAAAAACCTGGAATGTTTTGTACATGTAAAATTAGTCAGTGATCAGTGATAACTCAGTAATTGGGAGAGAGAAAGCTACTCCACAAATTAACATTATCCTATAGGCTTACTTTAAGTCAATGGCTGCTTTCCATTGGGCCATGTCTGCACACCACTTGAAAGGTATTGGCAAGGCCATGAAAACCCTGTTAAATAAACTTTGATTTAATTTTTTCACAGATTGCAGCAACATACTGTAGCCATTTCTGTTTGGACTCTACCACTGCATCGTTCTTGGTGGACATGGCATTGATTTTAGACAAACTGACCCATCAAGTAAAAACCAAGCCCAACTGGCACAAATTGACACTGTGCCAGTTACGTTTTGAAGTAGAACCAGTTATTTTCTGACCATTATGTTTTTGTTTTCCTCAAGAGAATGTTTTTATTTGTGGGCTCTCACTTATATGATGACCTTTCTGAAGAGAACTCCCTGGCCTCTCATTCAGTGGTCGTGAAGGTGAATTTGTTTTGCCTAGTATGACTGCGAGACTCCACCCCTGCGGTTTGGTTGGTTGCGCTTAGTTTGTCTTTTAATTTCTCATGTAGTTATGTAATATAAGTGAGGTCTTCCCTTTCTGTCCAGCCTTGAGCTGAGGTATGAGGGGATGGTCCAGGATAGTCTCGAGGCACAGGTTTGACCATTTAGAAGAAGTGAAGTGGTCATTTGTCCCATTTGTTTGATGTAGTTGCTACTTCCTGTGACAAGTGGGGGTTTGTCAATTAGTTTGTTGTTATTTGGGGTTGTATAATTGTCCTAAATTGAAGAGTTTGCATCTTGTTTGATTACACATTTGTGGAGTGTCGGAGCTGTATTTTAGTCCTTTCCCTTTTTGTGTTCATCAGTTTCTGTTTTGAAATTAAATTTGATTATGTTTGGGTCTATTGTGATTTTAGGTGCTCATCTATAAACTAGAGTTTTGAACACTTGTGAGAACTCTGAAAGTAGCAGTGAAACTGGGTAGTGCAATGAGCTGTCTGGCGATAACTCCCATCCAAATTTTGTCAAATCTTGAGCCAGAAACTCAGTAACTACAAGCCCTACTTAGAGGCCTTATAAAATTAATCACTGCAGTCACAATGGTGCACATTTCAGCACAGTCCTCTGCTCCAAAAAGGAGAATAACCAAAGGGGAAGTGAAAACACAAAATGCTATGATAGATGTTAATGCAGAGTTGGAGAACAAACCTCAACAGCTGAATGCCTCTGCCCCAAAACAGGATATTGTGTTGCTACACTCAGGATGCAAAAAAAATTGTCTTCATCAGCAACAGTGCAATATCACTCTGCTCAAATAACCTTCCAAGTAATCTTCCACCTCGGTACAGCTATCATAGCACGTCCGGGGCACAGACTATCAGTGAATTAATGACTTTTACCCCCTTTTAATTGCTCAGTCTGCAAGCATGCAATGTTGCATACTTGCAGACTAAGCAGAACTCACTGGCTTATTCTATTATTATGACACTAGCTAATTTCTTGCTTGTTGGTTGCTTTACATTTTTCAAAGTGGTTGGACAACAGTTGCTCAAGTTTTGTCGATGGTTGATGGTATATTTAGGACATTGCAAGGATGTACTATGTGTTTGGTATGACTTCTGATAGCTCAGTACTTTCTTGGTTGTTACTGAGAGGTTTGAGGAAACTAAAATGTCAGTAGCAAAAGTTAGTTGATTTGAGCATTCCCCCTAATGCCTCATTCATTAATGCATTCAAAGTGGCAGGTTGTCTTTTGTCTCTCACAAGTCTGAGGACTATGTCTTTGCAATGAGCCAGTGACTTACATATGCAGTTCTAACTGGGCAGTTATTTTCTCACATTGCCACTATAACGGTGCATGATGAGGTACTTCATTATCTAATTAATGTGTTTGCATGTATCGCTTTCTTATTTAAGTCCAAGTAGCTCTTTAAAGTTCAATGATAAAGAATTGTAGAGCCAATGACCACAACAATACTCCATTTTGTTTTGAAAATTTGAATAACGTTGGGTGGAGTAGAAAAAAATATGTTCCAGTTTCACGAGGGAATGCCAGCTGCTGATTTCAGCACGTCAGAGGATAATTGCGTAAAGTTGAACCTCTCTCAGCCTCTTCACCTAACGCAGCTTGGTGCCTTTTTCTGTGGTTCAGTTCACAATGACCGGGATCGGTATGCATGAATCTTCTGTCTTTCGTTATGAGGAAAAAATAATAGTTTGATAGCACAAATGCAATATCTAAAAACTCTTAGGAAACAGATACTATGTGCTGTGTGCAGGAGGGCAGGAGGTGCCAGATTTTTAGCTAATAAGATGGAGTGTTTGTTGTTCCATCTACTGGACATATTAGACCACAGTTTACACTTTTAATGAGGGGTGGAGCCAGACATTATAAGAACTGGGGGCTCAGACCAAACCTAGGGGGTATGGGGGCATGCTCCCTGGGGAGATTTTTTCCCATTTAAAGCAGCTATACGCACAATTTTTCAAGTCAACTGAGATAACAGAAAGCCTAAAAATCTGTATATCATTTGGAAAAAATATGGTTGTTGCCAAAAAAATCCTTCTGTAGAGCCTACATCCTATTTTGTATCTGACTGCTCTCCAACTGTCTTCATAATTCTGAGCTATAACACAACATATGTTGAGAATAAGTAACTTTCAGTCCTGCCACCTAAAAAGAGGCAAAAATTATCCAGTATTACTATTTTTAAGTTACATAACATAGGTAGGGTAGGAATTGGGGTACAAAGCATTAATAATCTTCCATCGATCCATCGATCCACTTTCATCCGCTTATATGAAGCCGGAGAGGCAGGCCAAGCAAAGCACCCCAGACGTTCCTCTCACCAGTAATGCTCTCCAGCTCCTCCTGGGGGACCCCAAGGCATTCCCAGGCCAGATGAGATATGTAATCCCTCCAGCATGTTCTGGGTCTGCCCCAGGGCCTCCTACCGGTTGTACGTGCCTTGAACACCTCTAATGGGGGGCACTCAGGAGGCATCCTGATCAGATACCTGAACCACCTCCACTGACCCCTTTTGTCGTGAAGGAGCAGTGGCTCTACGCCGAGCTCCCGCCAGATGTCCGAGCTCCTTACCCTATCTCTACGGCTGAGCCCAGCCACCCCACTGAGGAAACTCATTTCGGCCACTTGGATCACCCATCTCATTCTTTCGGTCACTACCCAAAGCTCATGACCATAAGTGAGGGTTGGGACGTAGATGGACCAGTAAATGGAAAGCGTTGCCTTCAAGGCGGCTGCCTTCCAGAAGCCGCACCAAACCGCCAATCCATCTCAAGCTTCATTCTACCCTTACTCATAAACAAGAGATACTTGAACTCCCTTACTTGAGGCAGTTACTCTCTACT